CATTAAGTTGCCACACAAGTCCACAAGGCAGTGAGACAAAGCATTGTTGAAGGTTATGAACATTGTCGTCTGAGACACAAAATCAGCCATCATCATGATATGTCTGAGTCAGCACAACAGTATGTCATGTCTGCCACCATTGTGAGAGAAGACAATGAGCGCCCACGGCATACTGCAAGCATGCTGTGGACTTAATGGTACATGAGGTGCCTACAGTGGCTCAAAAAACTGTCCACATGTTTTTGCATTTTTTACTATTTACAATATTGTGTGAGAATACATAAAGACCTCAGTGACATGCTAATACCATATTGTAGTGCTCACACTGTGAGAAACATTCTCAAGACAGCTCATCTCAGGTCAGTAACAAGGAAGAAAAGGCTCTCCTCTCTATCACACATATGCAGAGATGACTAACCTTTGCCTTAGCCCATCAGAATTGGATTACATGGACTGGAAGCATGTTATATGATCATATAAGACCACAATAAATAGGATTAGGTCAGATGGCAAGGTATATACATGAAACAAGAAGGGTGCTAGTCCTCTCTGCATATGTGTGATAGAGAGGAGAGCCTTTTCTTCCTTGTTACTGACCTGAGATGAGCTGTCTTGAGAATGTTTCTCACAGTGTGTGAAGAGACAGGGAATGTGATGGTGGAATTGATGTAATAGGTGACCTGGACAGCATTATCAGCCTTTCCTGTAGTGATATGTTGAATAATAGCCTCCTATCAGTAGAGGTGAGCTTGGATGGATGCCCTTCACAGAAGTTTTCCTTGTCTGTGTGACTTTCTTTGATGAACTTGGCCACAGTGGACTTGGATACTCCAGTTCTAGAGGAAATTTGACAAGCAGAGAGGCCAGAATAGGAAAGAGAGAGGATATTATCCCTTTGAGCAGGGGGGCTGGCTTTCATGGTGAATATAACCATGACATATGGAAATTTTTGGTTTGTATAGTTAGATATGGTTTTAAAATGACATAATGACACCACTTTATAATTTATTTAATGGTGGCATGATTGTTATGGTGTCAGTAAATGATGATTTATATAGTTTTAATATGTGCTCAAAAAACTGTCCACATGAGTCATGATTTTGTAAGCCTTGTATCTCCACCATATCTCCTCTGATTCTCACTAATGTGGTGCTCAATCCAAAGCCCTGAAGCAGCACTACAATATGGTATTAGCATGTCACTGAGGTCTTTATGTATTCTCACACAATATTGTAAATAGTAAAAAATGCAAAAACATGTGGACAGCTTTTTGAGCCACTGTACATCTGGGAAATACTCTTCCAGCAGACTGCAAATCCCAGAAAGGTAATTGTTGACTGAATGAGGGTTCACATGCATTGCCATGAAGGTGACACAGTAAGACAGAGTGTGTCACAACCCCTTATAACAAATTAATGCAAGGGCAGAGACTGGGACTCAAACAAAGGATATCACAATAAAAGAGATGATATTGAGCAGTGATGCTTGGGCTAATATGCAATGTATAGACAGAAGGTTTGGACTAAAGAACTACTGACTACAAATATACATATGTTGGAGATGGAGATTCAATCTGAGTTCTAACTACTAGCCAATCATTAAATAGAAGGGAAGTCATACAATGATATAAATATCTATGATATTACGATACACATGGCTGCTGCAGAAAGGTTCTGGAAGGTTCTTGATACATCATATGACAAGAAGTCATATTCACTGATAGGAATGATTGATGTTGTGGGCACTAATAGAAATGTTGGTTGTAGAAGTATTGGGACAGAGATTGTAGGGTTAGGGTTTGATGTAGGCACTGTGACAGGTGCTTGTTCTGGGCACTTAAAGGGTTTCTTATGAGTGCCAAGAAAAGAATAATGATTTGTATTTGGAACTTGTGACAAAGTGTCTAGGCATAGGTTCAATAGGAAAATGATGAAGATTGCAGAAAGTCAGGTAGGAGTTGAGAGCAGAAGTATACATAGCCATTCCCAAATTGATTGAGTGCTCATGAGCAAGATGCTCCATCAACCAAGCCTCTCTATCAGGTTGCTTGGCCTTCTGCAGTGTTGGCATCATTTTTTTGTAGCCCCCAGCACATTCCAAGGGGGTTCAAAAGGTAGAATTCATAGATCTGGGACACATGCTAGAGCTTCCCATCCACAGTTCCAAGAAAGATGATTAGCCACTGTATTCCTATTGCCAGAGATGTGGAAGACACAAAAATTGACAGAAGTGGCAAGGATAAGGTCAACAAATTGTAGAAGATGATTATACCCAGCACCTGAAGAAAGGATGTTGAATATGGCCACAGTATTGAGACTATTTGTGAAGATGGCCAGATGGAAGGCATGAGAGAGCATTGTGAATTGCAGAAGCAACACACAAGGCTCCATGGTAGAAGATATCTGAGTTTTGACATAATGGAAGAGCACTCTGAAAACCAAGTTTCAAGGAAGGGTACCAGAAACCTAAACCAATGCCTGAAGCATCACAGTACATACATAGAACATTCCATGCAGATGTAACATCAGACAAGTTCCATGATACTGACTTCAGAAGGTAGACCCCACCTGAATGTTCAAGAAGCTCTGCTGCCCATAGGACTTCATCAATGATACTACAATTAAGCCAAACTAAAGCTTTAGTTTGACTTTTACCTTCCATCTTGCAATATAATGCAGTGAGACCAGGTCTCAGGAGTGGTGCAACATTAAGGGCCCAGTTTAGTGATCCTGCAATATGCTCATATTCCCACAATGTTTGCCTATGTCAATGACAAGCAAAGGCATGCAGCTCAGCAACCAAATGAGTTTTTGAATCTTTACAGAGTGTGACCCACATTAACTGAGGATTGACATCAAAACCAATGACTGCCAAAGGGGACCCAAAAACTTATTTTTGCTCCTCATGTGGAATTCCTAATTCATTCCAGAGCCAAAGGAGTTTGACCATGTCAGATGGCAAGTCTTTCTGGTACTTGTCATAATAAGAACAATCCTGGAGCTTGGCATAGGAGAATGAGTTGTCCACATAAATATAAGTAAGAATCAGTCGCATGAAAACTGCAAGCCATATGACTAGGGACATGAAGGCATGGAAAATTCACTGAGAGGCTCTCCCTCCAAAGACATTAGAGCAGTCAACATGTCATTGTCCCTCAAAAGAGACAACTTGCTTGACTTGCCAGAGGGAATGCATTGGCATATGTCAATAGGCTTCAGAGACATCCACCTTCCAGATCACTAGAGGTCCATCCCCCTCCAGAGCTCTGAACTGATGTAAAGCATTCCCCAAATGCTAAACATTATCCAACATTACCCCAGCTATATCTTCTTTGGTAATCATAAGCATGGTAATGAGCTGGAACTTTCCTCCATCTTTTGGGACCACATGAATTAGCATGAAATACATCCCAGGCAGCAAGGTTGGTCCAAAATCTGGAGAATATCACCTGACTTGAACCTCCTTCACAATCTGATCACAAAGAAAGACTTGTTCTATTTCAGCAGTTGGAAGAGGAGTGGGCTCCTCCCATGTCATAGGGTAATCCCCATAATAAGTATTGGCCCACAGCCAGAAACCCTCTCAGAGCCCCACACAAACAGAGAGATAGAATGAATGATTAGGATGATGCACAGCTTCAATTCAACATAGATTGGAAGACATCAACATTAATAGGTGTAGAGACTCGAAACAGATCAGGGTGAGATGTAATAGTATTGATTGCTTCAACATTCAAGAATTCAGATGGAGGTGGCCTTGGTAAAGGCTAGTGCTGCCAAAGTCCAGTTCAGTCAGGTTCAGGTGGCCAAACCTTGGACCGGATGCCTTTGAATGCATTCAGAATGGTTCAGTTCCAGTTCAGAATGTGTTTAAACCCTCAAACCATTGCCAAAAAATTTCAAAATTACCAGAAAAAAAATGACAACAAATTTGCATGGCACAGATAGCCACTAGGACTCTTCATTCATGATAGGGCTCCATGAAAAACTCCCAAGTTTGAACACTGGGGTTTTTGACACATTTTTAACATGTTTTTAACATGTCAAAAATTCATCAAAAACTCAAATATATCAGTATTTGATCCCAGGAACATAGCCTGTCAGCTCCCTCTGAGATATAAGCTGAACATCCGAAAATCCCGAACAACTAGTTAAGATATGACCGACAAACCGTCAAATTGAAAATATAGTGAAACGGCTCGATAATTGCAACCTTGATGAACTTCTTCAACAATGCTGAGTGCAACGACGAGGGATTCACCTTTACGCCTTGCGAGGGTTGTCTCAGACATAAGATATACTATCCCGAGGTGCGTACAAGTACTTAAACTGAAATAATTTATTAGCTCGACCAAAACTTTCTGTCGGGATTCACCACCAGACGAAAAATGATGTAATCTTTAGCTTTCAAGTCATCTTCAGTCATATTGGAAGAGCCAACAACCGAAGGAATGTCCATTAATGAGGCTTCGACAAGGTTGGAAGAATTGGAAGCGGCAGACCGAGCCATAAGATACGTTCTGATGTGTATAGTTTGCGTGTGCTGCTGCTTCATGTCGACGCCGAGGCGGAACAAAAAATTATTTACTTTCGGTTGCTGCGGCAAGACCCGGGCACTGGACAGAGATGAAAGCGAAATTCTAGAACACTCCATAACGGAAAGCTCAAGACACCGTGCAGGAGTGGCCCGGTGACCGAGGCATGAATAGCGGAAAAAAGGGGCAAAGCGAGAACTGAATGACGGACACAAAGACAACCTCTAGCAAATAGGGTGTCAAATGATTGTAACCGAAAAGGCGAGAACATTGGCCGGCAGAGGTTTTGAAAGATGAAAACTGATTGTGTTCGACAAGAGCCTCTTCCACTAACGTTGGGAGTCAGGGAAGGGATACTTTTAAGACGCGGCGCCTTATGGACTCCTATGCATGGGGCGCCGTGTAGCAACTGTGCAGTGAGAATATTGTGACGAATATAAGGTGCAGGCCGCCCACTAGGTATAGGACTAGTCCCAAAAACAGATCAAAATTCCATGACAGGTCAAGTATACCCAGAAAAAGTGTTGGACCATGGACCAATATGACAAAGCAGCAAGAACAGCTAGATAACATAAGTAGCAACACATCACAGGTGCGAAAGCGCGTCATAATTACTGTGTGAGCATCTCAATGCCCAGAGACGCATCAATTTCCCCAGTATCTACCCTCTGGCTGGCTGCCTCTGCTTCCGAGCGCACCTCTCCGCCAGCTCGTTCGACATGGCTTCTAGGGCTTCCATCGCCCCAAGGGCCTCGAGGCCATGAGTGTTGCTGTCAGCGGACGTGGTAGTAGAAGTTTTCAGAGGCGGGTGCGTAAATATGTTGTGGCCGGGTTGTTCTAGCACCATTTCGGCAAGTTCTTGGAATGGTGGGATGTCTTCCGGTGCATTACAAGAAACCAAAAGCGGAGCGGCAGTGAGTCCGGTAGTCCTTCGGGTGGGTAGTACTCGTCCTAAGTTGTTCAGTATGTGCCGCTTTTGTGAGAAGGGATAGATTATACCTAGTCTCTTCGCTAAGTCATATCCCTTGAGTCGTTCCTTGTCAAATTCAGGGTTAACAGAAGAGCCCTCCTCCAAAGCAAGATAGTCAATGCGCTTGTCGATAATAAAGCGATCGTTCACTGTCCATGGTGCGTCGTGTAGCACTTCGTCTACCCAGCGACAGTGTCGCACAAGCTCGCAACGCTCGAGATGTGAGAAATGAGGCGTCGTTTTGTGAGCTCGACATTGCTCATCCGAAAGCACCCCGACAATAAGATGTACGCAAGGGAATGAGAGTTTCGCTTGACGGAGCTGATGTGCATGCCTTAGATGGACTTTAGTAATTGTGCATCATCCACTGGCACTGGTGGCATACTTACCCAACAGTTAACACATCGAATACGCCGTCAACATACACTCTCAGAGTCCTGTTGTCCCGTGGGTATTTTCCTGCACTAGACACTTTAAGTGCATTCTGTACATATGCCTGTATATCCACAGGATTCAGTGCCACCGCACTGAGTCTTTCCCTGGCTGCATCAGACGGGGGAAGCTCGTAAGTAGTCAAGGATGGAATATGATGCAAGTCGGCAATGCTGGACTCCAAGGAGCGCTGACCAGGGTTAGAAATGACATCGTAATCGTCGTCGCTCAGGACAGACGAACTATCCATGATGGAGCAAGTGAAATAGAAAATACGTTAAGACCGTACGTACACGGTGGCGTTGGAGGGCCGTGCTGGCAAAAATGCGAGACACGACTCACACGAGGCCATTCCTCCTTCTGCAAGGACCATCGAAGTACAACTTGACCTGCTTCGTGGGAACCTTTAAATTGGCTACAAGCCTACAACCAGTAGTTCTAACCTAGTCTTGTAGGCCATGTAGCCTGTTGTCCTGATATCTGTCTTTCTCTGAGACTCTACTCTATCATCCAGAGCGACGTCCATCGTCTCTCATGGAAGAGGATAATTGTAAGTAAATTGATCACTGATATTCATGCAGCCAATGGCGGTATAATACCAGGCAAGAAGGCCGCGGAGCCCTTGTTCTCCTCATACCACTTCGAATCATGAGCAATCAATACCTGCACTCTCGGAATTCCCAACAGCGACCGGATCCTTGCAATATTCTCCACCGCTTTTTCCTTATCTCCATGAATGCACCTGACGCGACCTGATGAATCAATACTATGTGCGACCTCTTTCTCGCCCGTAATCAATCTGTAGTCATGAGCGGAATCCCCTCCAAGGAGAATCCACGCGCCATCTGAGGAGGTGCGCGCGAGTATGTTGATGTGTCCTCCTACATGCCCTATAACGCTGACTTGTTAGGTTATATGTTCTAAGGATTTCCAAACCACAAACCTGGCGCATCAATCACATACATGCTGCCATCGCCGAAAAAATCCAATGCAAGCGGAAATGGTCCAATGGGGAGACTGAAGTCGGATAGAGGAAGAAACTTAGTGCGCTCATGCGGAAGAGCGGTCGAAGAGAAGAGGGAGTTTCGGTCTATAGGGTATCCTGAAGCCAGAAGTTCCCTGCACCCTTCTCCCACAACAAATGTAGCTCTGGTGAATGGCTCATGGTCCCCGATGCTAATAAAGAACAGTTATTTTATTTTTTTTGGATCTGTCAGCTCTCCCAAACACTCACTGATCCCAGTGCAAGTGGCTAACGATGACAGTTTCAACCTGATCAGGGGAAATGCCTCCCTTAACCAGCGACTCCGCGACTGTCTGGTTGACAACAGGGGCGAACCCCATGACCTTGATGCGCTCCTGGGAGAGAGGGGTGCATCCTTCGAGGTCGCGCCGTATACCTAAGTCGAAGACAACCCATGACTTGGTCTTGGAGTGTCGTAGTGAGAAGGCAAGAGATGGACATGAGATGGACTCTCCCTGTGAGTTTCCGTCCACAACCAAATCGCAGGGGATGCGAATATTTCCTCCCTCAAGCGCCGACACATGCATGAAAGGCTGGTCTACACTGGGCGGAGGAAGCATCAGCCCAGTTGATGCCATTGTCCTGACTTGATCGACGATGGGAAGCGGAGTGGCAGAATGCTCACACATGATTTTCCCATTTATATACCTTCTCGGAACGTGACGATGCCTGAGCGCTTGAGCAAATAAGGAGGTATTCAGAACTATCTGGGAATATCGACTTCAGAAATCTCCATCCTACTCCGCCATGCTGAGTGTACGCGGTTGCAATGAATGACCTTTGTAATTGTAACAAAGTTACCACGGAGGTAGTGCAATTTCTTTCAGTAGAATGATGTTTCCATCTAATTAAGTAGCGATTGACAAAATCGGCTGTGGTATGTCATCTCTGCAACGATCATGCTTTTGCTGGAATAATACCAGGGTAGAAAGCTGGTCCGCCCCTGTTATCTTCGTACCAAACAACATCATGGGCAATCAGCACCTGAACCTTCGAATTGCTGAGCAATCCCTTGATCCTCTCAATATTCTCCAGTGCGAGTTCCTTGTTCGCGTGGATGCATCTAAAGCACCCATTGACGTCGGTGTAGTGTCCGATCTCTTTTTCTCCTGTGATCAATCTGAAGTCTCCTGCAGAATCACCCCCGAGGAGTATCCATGACCCTTCAGCAGATGTACGCGCCAGTATGTTCACATGCCCCCCAATGTGTCCTGCACATAGCAAGATGATGGGAATGTCAACGAAAGGGTGTGCGAAAATGCACTAACCTGGAGCATCTACTATATACATGCTTCCATCTCCGAAGTAGTCGATGGCATTTGAGTATGGTCCAATGAATGAATTCATGTCTAACTCAGAAAGAAATCTGGTTCTTTCGATGGGGATGGCAGTTGACGAAAATCCGGCGTCTTCTGTCACGGGATAACCTGTTGCAAGTATTTCCTTGCATTGTTCACCGACGACGAAAGTAGCATTCTTAAATGGCTCTGGATCACCGATACTGGTATGGTTGATCAGCAGAGTCTTCAAAGAAGGCCATACTCACTGGTCCCAGTGAAGATGACTGACAACGACGGTGTCAATCTGCTCTGGTTGCGTTCCACCTGCTTTCAATGATTCTGCCACGTCTTGTGGAACTTCCGGCTGGAAGTCAAAATGTTGGATGCGCCGCTGTACTGCGGGAGGCAGAGAAAATATATCTCGGCGTATCCCCAGATCAAAAACAACTTGATGACCACTTTTTGAGTGGCGAAGCAAGAATGCAAGTGAGGGATTTCGAACGGCATCTGTTGGGGATGATCCAGCGACGACAATCTGTAGGGGCACACGTAAACTTCCCGCCTCGAGGGCGGAGACATTCATATAAGCTTGATCTGCTGCTGGAGAGGGGAGAGACATGGTCGTTATCTTGATAAACACCCTGAGGACTGGTAGCAGGAGATAAACTATTGGTAAGGATCGATGTACATAGATGAGGCTCACGAGGATTTACTTCCGTGTTATGGTTTATCCCTTTCACGGGTCTCCGCCGTTCCATGTCATTATCTGCATCATCTGACTTTGATCTGCCGACGGATGCTGTGGTGTGAGCATAAGAGTATATATAGCCTCGATTAGGCAAAGGAAGTTAATGTGGCAGTGCAAGACGCGTCCGAGGTCACGTTCTTGCAAAATCAAAGACTCGGTTCCGTCGATCAAGTAATTGAGTCAGTGAATAGAGCTAGTTGCTGCCGCGCAGAATGCGTGACAGCTTTGCCTAGTAGATACCACTCCGAGTCATAGTCTTGTTCCTCACTCATTCAACTTCCCGAAGAGTCACACCGTATCTCGCGTATGGCCCCCGCACAATCAGATTTATGTCGTCTCACTGGCAGAACATCGAGGAAGCACTGGCATGAAAGCGGCTGGTCTAGGTTGCTGCTCGCATTTCGAGTGCTGGTGTGCAGCCTGATAATCATTTCACTAGTGCTCTATAAGTTCTGCGACTCAGCTTTCTTACTAACCTGCCATCTTCCTCGTTTTTGGCTTGCAGGTCCTTGTAACGGGCTTGCAGGTTCCCTACCTCCGGGCGTTAATTCTACCACATGCCCCCAGTGGATGGCTTTACATCCAACCAAGCATCATGGGCTCAGTGAAGACTTGGATGTAGCATACAGCTCAGAAGACTTCAAGCAAAGAGCAATACAGGCCCTCGGAGACGCAGTCCGTGTACCGTAAGTTCTAATGTTGCATATCACTGTGGAAACATAGACGCGCTCTTAGGACTGAATCGTACGACGATAATGGACCGGTTGGCGAAGACAGCCGATGGGATACATTCGCAAAACTTCACCGAGTTCTTGAGGCCTCGTTCCCTCGTGTGTACGTCGGGATCTTCAATTCTGAGTTGTCATTTCATAGCTCATTTTATATTTCTAGTTACGAGTCCCTCAATGTCACCAAAGTCAACACATATGGTCTGGTTTTTCACTGGCAGGGATCAACTTCGGCAAAGCCTTACATCTTGACCGCTCATCAAGGTTATTCTTCTTTGAACATTCCACTGAATCTCGGTTGACATTGTTTTAGATGTTGTGCCAGTTGAAGGTCAAACAGTTAAAGAGTGGAAACATGATCCGTATTCAGGGTACTATGACGGTAGGCAAACTTTCAACCCCGCGAGGTGCTGCTTGCATCTGTATTATCACAGGCACGTGGATATGGGGTCGTGGTACTTGCGATGACAAAAGCGACTTGATACGACAATTGCTTGCCATCAATTCCTTGTTAAAGCAAGGTTTCTCTCCTGCACGCACCCTTATACTTTCGTATGGATTCGACGAAGAGTCCAAAGGCATAGAGGTCAGGAAAACCTCTGCAAACAAGTTCCATTATTGATAGGTCGCTTCAGGGTGCTGGTCATCTTGCTCGATACTTGGAAGAAACGTACGGGCGCGATTCCTTTGCCTTGCTTCTTGACGAAGGAGGTACGTGGACTAAATGTTGCAAGTGGCACAACTCAACTCTGCATTAGCTCTTTACACGGACATGGGCGGCATTGTTTTTGCGACTCCCTCGATATCTGAGAAGGGATATCTTGATGTAAAGATCACGGTTTCAACTCTCGGTGGTCATTCAAGCGTACCACCTTCTCATACTGTGCGTGTTGATCGCCACCTTCTTGCTGATAATTGATCAGCAGTACTGTACAGAGCATCGGTCTCCTCTCCCGTTTCATAACAGCAGTGGAGGATAGCCCGCACCAAGCCAGCCTTTCCCGAACAGGAACCCCGTTTGCGACAACGCAGTGTCTTGCGGCCTACAATCCAATGTACCCGGAAGACTTGCGCAAGCTCGCAAGAAAAGCGGTTGCAGATGATGCGGCTCTGAAGGTGTTTCAAGAGCGACTTCTGGCTTCGGATCCCCTGTACAAAGCAATGCTCGGGACCACACAAGCCGTGGACCTCGTTGAAGGTGGCGTGAAAGTTAACGCTCTCCCAGAGCGTGCTAGCGCAGTGGTCAATCACCGCATCGCAGAACACAGGTCTTGCTTCTTTTGTATTGCTTCTAGGACTTTTTTCACTTCTTACTTTTAGTTCTGTTGGCGAACTGCAGCAGCACATGACCGACCTTTTGACCCCGTTGGCAACCAAGTATGACCTCGCACTCGTCGCGTTTGGCAGCAACGTGACTTATGGTGGTGCTGGCCAAGTCGTTCTGTCTGACTTCCTCGGGACGGCCTTAGAACCTTCGCCTGTGACGCCTATCGAGTATGGTCCTTGGGCACTCTTGCAAGGAAGCATTAAAGCTGCTTTTGAGAGCTCCCCTGCCCGCAATAGCAGCAAGGTCGTGGTCATACCCTCTCTATCTATTGGTACGTTGGTTGTTTGGTTTGTACTGCACGATTTTAATGAATGGTGTCAACCAGGCAACACTGGTAAGCAACGGCGATCTACTCATAACGAATTATCTCTTCACGTGGTCTCAGACACACAATTCTACTGGAATTTGACCAAGCATATTTTCCGCTTCTCGCCGTCCTTTGACACCGATCGTTTCAATGGAGAACACACTGTCAATGAAGGCAAGTATTCCATAGTGTTACGTTACTTTCCTCGCTCATGCAGTTCCCCAAACCAGCTTTCCGTGCAGACAGCTTGAATGAAGGTGTTCGTTTCTACACCAAGTTTATCTTGAATGTGGACGAAAGTGATTTACCGTGAACCAGTATACGACGTCCGTTTTTTGTTTTGCTATTTTGCTATACACAAATATTTTCTTGTCTGACTACTTTTGAATACCCAATATGCATTTGTTGGAAATGCTGCACAACTACAAGTTTATAGATACACACATGTATATAATACACAACACTTCTCATTGTTATGTGTGATTATTCTGCCTCAGTCTCCGTCTCCGTGCCACTGGTCCTGCTATTGACCTCAGATCCCTCTTGTCCTGTCGGAACAATACGACCTCGTCCATCTGTTGCAGCTGCTCCAGTCTCAGATGTCTGACGTCGAGCTTTGATGGCAGAATTTGAGCGGTGTCGCTCACGAGCCTCCACTTGAACCTGAGCGTGAGGTGGACCACGTACTGTCCTGCTCCATACCACTCTGCCTCTGCCATCAGTGACAAATGGGGGATCCGTATCGTGTTCGCATTGCGGCCGGGCGGCTGGTGCCGTCTGCTCCCCTGTACTGCTTGCTGGTGCTTCAGCAGCTCCTAAAGACATTGCTAACGACTCGTTGCTCTCTGGTGGGTCATGCACAGTAGATGTAGATGATAAACGAGGGTCGTTATCATTGTCACTGTCGTTGTCAGGTAAGGGGACGTAACGAGACATCCTCCTCTGCTTCATCGTCATCGTCTTCGTCTTCGTCCTCGATGTCGATAATCATAGTCTCTCGGCTGCGGGAGTTCAGTACGGTACTGAACCTGGACGTATTTGATTGCTGAACGGTAGATGTCATGGAGGCTGGGGAGATTGATGAGGGACGAGGGGACGGTGTGCGGGGCATTGCCCAGGGAAGGAAGCTGTGAGGAAGTGGTCCAGAAACCTCCGCAGAGGATGACGGCCTCAAAGGCACTGGAGGTGTTGTTGAGGGTCCCATGACTGGAGATGCACTCCTAGCCCTAGGTGGTATTGAAGCAGTGGGTACGGTTACGGGACTCTCGACAGGTGGATGCGGACTTTCCTCGACAGCGAGAGATACGTGGGTAACAGGAGCCACAAAATGCGTAAATTCTAGTGACCGCTCTGTAACTATACTCTCCGCCTATGGTAGAGTCAGAGCTACTAAACATACACATGTCATGCAACGAAGTGACCTAAAAAAGGCTCACCAGTAATTCGAAGGGCTGATGGTCTTCGTCGTCGTCATCATCCATAAGAGCATCTGTGGCTGCACCAGACTCCGCATCCATACCGTTCAATAACGCTGGGAGATGTTGTCGGACGAAGCTGAGAGTGACATGGAGATTATTCGTTGGGTCTCCGAGGATGCTCTGCAGAAGCCTAAGGCGATCTGCGAGATCGGCATCTGAAGCAGACCCGGTAAACGTGTGTCCACGCTGCCGTTGTTGTCTCCTAAATACCTGAGAGGGCATAAATATAAAGGCACAAGATGCAGGTGACGCCATACTTTCATGAAGTGATTTGCTCCGTATAGGAACCTTGTGTGGTGTACCATCAGGATTGAGATGCTGGTAGAAACAATCGAGACCGAATGGGCAACAGGGCTTGCCAGAGGCTGATGTTTCGGCGAAGTATCTACATGATTGCGATCAGGCCGGCGAGAGGAATATAGGTAGACCGTACTAACTTGCATGAAACACGAGCCATGCTATTCTTGTAACTGTCTATCACTTCCTGCTTGCGTGGGTGATCCTGAGGAAAGAAATGTGTGGATGGTGTAATGAAACGCGATGGACTGCGGCAGTAAGGACAACGTTTTATTACTCCTGACATCACCATGTCCGACGACTTTCCTTGTGGCTCTCGCCACTGGCGAATACACTGCTTAACAGCGTAAGTTTCTGCACAATAAGAGCAATAATGATAGATCGACCTGAAGACAAAATACATGGCCGCAACCAGCTGGGGGACAATGTCAGAAGACCAGAAGACGTTCAAAAAGTCAAGATGGCGACTCACTTAAAAGACCGAATGTCTGAGGTTTTTCCATGCATATGTTACACATATTTTCATCAAAGTGCTTTAGCTCCTCATCAAGGGGGATTTTCGCAAGTTCATGGCGAAACCAACACCGAGTACCTCGGGTGCAGTGTCCTGAAATCCGGTCAGTTTCACTACCATCATCAAACTGCACGTTGCTTGCCTTGAACATAATATCTGCACACCTTGGATTTGTCGTGCGGGGTAAGCTTTTCCTCAGCACCGTGGAGGAACTTGCAATCGTCACCAGCGTAGCAGCCCCTGGGGTTGTGTAGTACCGACAGATTCCCCGTGGCTTGGACGTCACCGGGCGATCCATGTGAACATCTGGTGTTTATCCTTCAAAACTACAGACGACAAGTATTAGAATATTCCGCTGCTGGCAAATGATCAGTTGTAGACAGTCGTGGACGATGACAGAAAGGTGGTCTTGTTTCCCACGATGTCGTTTGAGTCTAATAAGCTTTTACGTTGCGTGCTTTTATGTACATCCTGATTCCTGACACAGCGATCATAATATCGCGCTCTATCGTCAGTAATCAGGTTGAATCAGATTTGATACTCGAGCGTCGGATGGATAATGGATACTGCGTCGCGGTGGCAGTCTCAAAATATTTAGCAGCTCCGAGTCAGCCTCAGTTGCCTGCTGGGAACTGTCACTGTTTGCAGTGATCCTGGTGGTCACACTCAAGGCCTCTATCATTATGTAGAAGCCCTTCCATACATACAAACCAACAGTACACTTGAGTTATGGTATGTATCAGTTCGAGCTGGCACTAACTGCCATGCTAGTCAAAGCACAGATTAATTTCATTGAGCCATTAAATGCTTGTCTATATACAAACACTGGTGAAACTAGAATTACGTTTTCGCAGACATAAGCAGTGTGGTGCGGAAAGTAGGTGTTAAAAATGGATGAGTTTCACTGCGACGCCAAAGGAATCCTAAACCCGCCAGTTCTCCCCATCATGTCGTCAGGATCGTACTTTGCACGGATTGTCATAAGCTTTGACAAATTTTTCTTGTAGATGTCCTTGACTGGAGTATCGGCGAGCGAGGTGTTGCAATATTTTGGCAAGTTGTCATTAGTGCACCCCTCTGCCTCTGCCACCTTTTGAATAGACTGCAGGATCTGCATCATAAGCCCGATCCAGTACATATCGTTGCTCTCTCCTTCCCATTGGAAGCAAACGAGCAATGGCCCATTCGGCTGGCCTTTCTTGTGCGGCCAGGCGGCGGAAGTACTTGTGTCAAACATGGACGGTAGGAATGGCCAAATATCAATGACGGCTGTCTTTCCCTGGTTGTCCTTCATCTTGCTGGCAGCGAGCTGAGAATAAGAGCGATGAGAAAGACATTTACACATTTTGACACTAAGGATGATTGTACCTTCGATTGGTCCTCTATCTCATCTAAGAGCTTTCGGGTAAAGTGCGAAACCATCACGGTCCCCCAACGCACCCTTTAGGAGTGTGAGTGAGCCGAACGTCGAGAGAATTGTTTCATAACATACCTAACATTCTCTTCCCCGACACCGGCTCTAGGGGGATTCTTTGCGTATGTTTGTAGAGAGAGCCGCGTCCCATAAACTGGACAATGCAACGGCGCTGCAGTGATACGGGAGGGATTATGAATATGGGAAAAAAGTTGGTCCATGAATGCAAAGTTTTCAGAAAGCTTTTTGTCCACTCCGTCCTGGAACTCGTGATCAATCCATTTTTCGTCAGAGATTTCGAGGAGCTCCTCAAAAGGATTGTCGGAAGGAAGCGGCCCATCATAGAAAAGGTCAACAGTGATCTTGTGCTGTGTCGACAGTTAATGTCAGAGCACAACAAACTTCAGGGGTTGGACATACCTCTTGCTCTCCGCGGATGCAGAAATGTCTGTATGCAGCAACGATCGCTGCCTTCTTGTCTTTGCACTTATCAATGTGGTTCATAATTGCCTCCTTCACCTTTGTGGCCTTATCTATTGGAAACGTCAACATGTTCCGCTGATTTGTTCATACAACACGAGATCAGCATGAAAGACACGGTAAAAAAACATATAGACACCGACATATATAGGCCCTAGAGGATAGGTTTTGACAGTGAATGAAGTAACAATGCCGAAGTTGTTCCCACCCCCCTATTTCGTGAGGACTAGGATGATACCTGAGCATTTGATAAACTCACTCTGATAGCAAAGAAAAGGTCACTGTTGCGTTCAGCGGATGCCTTCACTGATTTTCCGTTGCACAAGACGACTTCAGCTTCAACTAGATTGTCTATTCCAAGACCGTACTGGTTGGTCAAGAGAGAGTAACCACCACCCAGTAGCCAACCAGCCACTCCGACACCAGCAGCGGTTGCCCCACCGACGACGTTTCGCTTATACTGGGCTATTTCCTTGTAGACCTCATCGAAGAGGCATCCCGCTCCAATGCGTAGATTCTGGGTTTTGCTGTTATATTCGAGTTCGTTGAAGTTGGCCATGGAGATCTGAATCCCTGTAGTGGAGCTGAAGCCAGGATTGGTGGAATGTCCACCCCCTTTGACCTAGGTAAAGGCATGAAAATGGTGAGAAGGACTGATAATAATATACGCACCGCAAATTTCACTTTATCATATGTCTTGAAGACTTTCACCTAAACAACGTTCAATTCGACAAAAATCCACTCAGAAATCGAGTACTGACGATCTTTTTCAGACCATCAATATTACCAGGTTGAACTGCGCAGCGAGCTACTTCAGAACTGCTCTCGAATTGGTGAGAGACACTGAGTTTATAACCAGCGCCACCTTTGAGATAATACTTCAATGCTATGGCATAGTGGCCAAGTGAACACTTTACCAAACCGCAAAAACTGCGAAACATGCTTCGAGTTTTTGCAAATCTTCTGAATTTCCTTGGTGGCTTCAACATATTCTTCCTCGGTCCAAAAATCGGCATCGTAGCTAGCGTCTGAGTCCCCATTACTGTCATCCTCCGACTGATCTGGCTTGTCATTGTAGTCGATCGAGGCATGGATTCCTTGGGCTATGGAGCGTTTGCTAGTACTTCCCTAAACTTTGTGTCAGCAGGATAGACTGATAACACAGTAACAGTACATACCATACTGCCAACGTAGGTCGCGCCATCCTCAGCACTCTATGAAAGAATGACTTGGGTTAGAGAAATCAAAAAATTGCTACAGTGAGCTACACACAGAGTCATCTGAACCGGCGATGCCTGCGTGGCCATCATCGTTAACCTGCCATACAGTAAAATGGGTTGGAAGTTCCGAATCAAAGCTGGTGCAGTCAGGGACGTACTGAATTAGCTGAATCGTTGGATCCTACACCATGGGCAAGATGCTGCAATCACGCGACAATATTAGCGTCGCCAGTGGCAAATTAACTCAGCGAGAAGGAAAACCCACAGGTGCCATGATATGACTTGAAGTAAATAAGTCGCTTTAAAGTTTTGTATAAATTGAAGGAGGATCTCTCGAGCGGGTGTTTGTATAGACAGGATACAGTTGGGCTTTTATGAGGCACACGTCACAGCGATGCATTGATTGGGGTGTTTTCTTCACTCTGATGCTTCGCGCCCATGCTGCGGAAACAGGCACGAGTTCCGTTAAGTGAGGAGCTCTTTCAATTGTCCATGCACTGCAAAGCGGGCCGCCTGTTCGCCACGATATGCAGAAATCCGGTCACAATGAAGCTCCGTAACTGTGCTACGTAACAAAGGCGTTACGTGCACCTGGCTTGCGCATTCCAGATTGAGATAGGGTAACAGATGTAAAGCGATGACTTGGCCATCTAGCGGGTTTCAAATCTTGAATTTAGCATGCACCGAAAATGGACCTTGAGCGCTGCGATATCAGAGCAGTCCAAAAATGAATAATGTCTAAGGAAACAGACGCTCAGGATGGCCATGCGAGTGCTGTGCATTGACCCGCGCCCATGGGATCGACTCAAGGACTGCTCAACCAAGTTGAGACAAGGGGGACGCCATACTAGAAAATAGCCAGCTTCAAGATGCTAAGGAGCGATGGCCCAGGCTGGATATTAATCTAGATTAGCCTATGTACTCCAAAGAGTACAAGCACCATAATTCAAAACAAAGTGAAGGAAATCCTTGAGCTTGAATTCGGTGAGTTGTGACATAGTAGAGTAGAAAACTCAAATTCGGCCTCCGACAAAATTGAAATGTATCTCCTTACACTTGTGAAATGCTGCTTGCGTCGGCTGGAACCCAATTGCTTGTCATATTCATTGTAGCGGCGTAGGGCTAATGGAATCATGACCCTTGCATTGATACTGGCCTTTATGCATTGTGGAGTACCAAGTTGATAAATATATTGCTCTGCTGCTTTCTTCGTGGGAAATCCTGTGGTAGCAATTTAGTAACTGAGATCCTCCACACCAAGCTGAGACTCAAGTTGGCTCTAGCGGCTAGACTGTCACTAGTTACTAATGTCACTATCCTCGACATCGACAATCAAGAACCAGCTCAATGCTGCTCTGGGGCAGAAGGCCCCAGCCTATTTTGAAACACTCAGCCAGTTTGTTTCTGGCAAGGTATCCAGGATAGAATTTGACGAATCCGTTCGCCAGGCGCTGGATGCTCCGAATTTAGGCAAGTGCAATTACTTGCGGTGTTTCGCAGTGTCACTGACATCACCATAGTCCAGCTACATAACTCCCTTATCATCTCGTTGTTTGACTTCACCGTGCACCGTCGACTACCCACACCCCCTCCTGATGTATCAAAACCGCCACCACGTAAACGTCGTCGAACGTTGCCTTACCAAGGCCCGGATGACAACGATGATACTTTACGATCATCGAGACTTAAGCGGTGGACCGTGTCTATGGGAAAGCGCGAACGCGACCGCATTCGAGCACTGCAGTCTGCTCCCACTGAACGCCCGAGACCTCGGAAAGACACTGATGAGATAGCGCGCGATAGAGGGGTGTTGTTATTAGGCGAGCGTGGAGGTGCGCATAATGGTTCATTACATTTCTACGACCACCTGAAGTTCTAGTTCATCAAAGATGCGCCTGGCAGTCGCATGCCGTTGCATCTTGCATCGGTCTCAAGAGCTCCGACATTGCAACATATTTCGGATAGAGTTAATCTCATAGCAGCACAACATAACCTCGGTGCACCGTCACGAGCCGTAGCATCGCTATTAATGCTTGCATTTGAGGTCCGTTATCCTTGAAGGTATTGGTATGCGATCCTCACATATTTTACGCAGGCCAAACTGAAACAACTCATAACACATGCGCTTTCTCTTACTTCAACATCGCATGCAATCGCCTCCATAACTCCATCCACACGCCACTCGCATAGCCGTGCCCTTACTGCATCGTCTTTCGATACCCTATTCACACTTTCACCTGCCGTGCTGCCGAATAAATCAGCCGCGGCTATGCGCCTAGCTATTGGCGACAACGACATTATGGATGATGAAGATGTTATCTTACTAAAGGATCGAGAGGTCCGAGATCAGCGATGGCAGATACTTGCTCTGCTTGCCGAACGAAGCACAGTCAACGAAGCCCTTAGGAATCTCAGATGACAGCCACCTTCCTCTGCGATTTTGATTGCTACCTGTTACTTACTACCCAGTCATTCCACTAGCACTGGATGTACACTAAGAATTCAAAGGCTAAACTTCTTTTACGGCAGTATAGTCTACCAAATAATGGTCTTGACTACTAGGGGGTGCAGCCAGACTATGATATCCTGATGAATTACATTCAGTTGACCGTCATCTACAAAATATAGGCTTTGATAAAATTGTTCTAATTTCTATATATGTCATAGTATGATTGAAACAGCTTCAGTGATTCCCCATGGCTCATCTAATAATGAAATCTTGAACATATGTTGTCTACGTCTGGCACTCGCATCAACTACCTAACAAAAAAATATGGCCAACGTGGGGATCGAACCCAAGACCTTCGCGTACCAGAAGTTGGTATTAGCACGACGCTCTAACCAACTGAGCTAGTCGGCCACGGTGAAACGGGAAAAATATGTCGTGAAATTGCTGCACGCCTCCTATCACGCTTTAGTGAGACCTCGAGTCCTTGTAGAAAATCGCAAGCCGGTAACAATGTCATGAGCTCCTTCGGGCTGGTAAACTTGGAGAAGGCCACGAAGCATACTGATCCGTAATGGAAATGAGTATGTATTTACTCTGCACTTGCCGCTAGTCAATGTATAAGATTGTTACATAGATAATACATCTGTATGGTACGTCAACTGCCTATAGGGACATCTCCAGATCCTCTTTCCTTCTCTTCCTACACCTTTCACGATCAACGTTTGCCAGCTTCTCCTCCCAGCATGCAATGAACCGTTGTCTTTTGAGCTCTCTTCTTTGCTCCTCGACAGTTTCGTCTCCCAGCTTTCCCCACAACCTTCTTCCCCATTCATCCAGGTCCTTATACTTCGCAGCATCATGGGCCTCGCGCCCAACCGTCTCAAGAGCTATAGTTCGCAGGCCTCGGAGGGTGAGGCATTCCATATAGGACCTCTCAGATGGACGGAAGAGCTTCGTGATGCGTGGAAAGCGGAGCTCGTAGTACTGGATTATCTGTAAATGTGAACTGCAACTGCAAAGCATGGACAAAACGTACCTTACTCTGTGGCGCCTTGGTGAACCCTGCGCCACATAACTCTACCAGAATCGGGTTCCGAACGAACACAGATGGCCTTGGCAGCATTTGGAACATAGTGTACGTGTAGCACAATTCATCAATAGACGGCTAGGTATTCAGTGTTCAGTATGATTCTAAGCCCGGCACAAATAGATCACCTTGGGTCCATCAACCGCGTCTGCACGTATCCAGAAATTGAATTCCTCAAGCTGCTCGCGGGATAAACCATATGAGGCAGTAAAGTACGCAACAAAGTGAGGTTTGCAACCAGGCTAAAAGAAGCATATCAAACCGCATGACAATAGTGATTTCTGCACTTACATCGATGTTCATTTGCGACGAGTTGCTTAGGACGGCAATGTAGAAAGTAGTTAGAGTCGATGGCGGCACTAAACAGCCGTGGTTCATCATTATAACCTCAAGGTTCAGTAGATAAAACACACCTCTCAGCTCTCTAGCTCTGTCTTTCTCCCAAGTAGCAGCAATTACGACGAGGTCTATAGTATCTCCATACCCAGGGATGTAGTCCTTTTTCAGCTGTATGCATGTATTCCAGAAAATCTAAAGAGGCTATAGATCGATGAATTGTTGGCGTACCTTGACCCAGGGGAGTTTCCAATCTCCATAGGTGCTATCTGAAGCCTTGAGCACCAGCCCTTCCTCACATTCCGTAATACGCTTGGCCCATGTTTTCCTCAGTCTCTTTTGCCCTTCAACCTCTTGTACTTTCCCGCCTACGACAACTACCCGCTCAGCCAACATAGAACGCCCTGGAACTGGGGTGATGACACTCTCAAGTAGTGACCGGCGCATATAATATGGTGCATTCAACATAGAGGCTGCGCCCACCTGCAAGACATCAAAAAAAACGAGTGCGAGGTGCAAAGTGGAGGCCGCTGACGAATTCGAATGGAGTGAAGGGCAAGAGTCTCTGTGGGTGTGGGTGAATTGAGGGTCACAAGCATGGAAGAAATACATGCTGTGTGCGCGAATCGTGCTGGGTCTCACCCCTTCGATATCCGCCTGCCCGGGCACCCACAGCAGTGCGCGCTATTAAGCCACGTATGTGCCAAAACTCTGGAATGAATTCAGGTTGTGTAGATGCCACAATCATGTGGAGAGTAGAATTACCTTCTATTTTGTGCCGCTCATCAGAATAGGCAACCATCTCCGCATCGAGTATGATGTCTCCCATACTATAGCCAGCAAGGGCCTCTATGATTATACTTTCCAAGACGTGCTCAGCGCATGAATTGGAGCATGGCGAGACGAAAACATACGGGTGTACTGCAATGCGGTCCAGCGTCGAGTCCCTCTTGCTCTTACTGAAAATTACGATTTGTGGATCACCTTGGCCGCGAAATCGTACGTGAATCTGTGCACGCTCGCCATCATACTTGGTTTCCGCCCAGATAGCACTACTTGGCCTGAGAACATTGAGTGCATGCATCGGGCTCCGGCCCTTTGCAGATTTCGGTATCTTCAAATGATTTAAGTTAGCCGGCGAATTACCACATACATCAAAGAGCGCACCTCAACGGGAACGCCCCAGCGCGGCCTTGGGTGTGAAATCACACCTCCAGCCTCAAAGCACAGTGCCGCTTCGGTTATGTTAGCACGTGTTCGGTACATCTTCAACATGGAGCCACTTGGGTCCCAAGTCTTCATGAATTGCTCCTTTGTCAACACCGACTTGCTATTCGTGTTGTATTCAAGAAGAGCACGACTGGTGGATGCGACAGGGGGAGCGTATAGGATGGGTCTCAGATCTTTCAGAATGATCTGCGTGAGGTATGCAGCATCGAGAGCAGGAAGAGATTCGAATAACGACCGCAGAATAGCAGATTTAGACCGAGGTGGCGATAGCGAATGAGCCGCGTGGAGAGTCTTGTCAGAAAACGCCGAGGTAGATGCCAGTTCGTCCAACAATACGTTAATATCCTGGAGACTCTTTGGTCCAATGAGTGACTACGTTTCGGTTAACTGCAACCAACAGGTCAAATATTCGGTGAGATACCTCGGCATTTGATGATTGTAAAGCAAAAATTTCCTGGCCGAGACATCCTGAGCTCTGTTGCTTACTCCACTGTTTCAAACGGGCAGTAGAGATAGGCGGAAAGATAGAAGTATCCAGACAGTCTGGCAGGAGCTGTGATAGCCTTGCTTCTTGCAGGTTATACTTTCTGTGTGAGTCCTCTTCAGGAAATAGAAGGCAGAGAACGTGTGTGGTAGTATCCCGAGGTAAGGGTGAATAGTTATTCTGAAGGTTTTCGACCCATTTTGCAAGAACGCCAATGGGAGAACGGCAAGCAGGAGCTTGTTTGTTGATCCTGGACGATATATTATGTGCCGGAACATTGGCAATTTGGTGCAGCAGAGAAACAAACCTGGAGTCAGGGGTTTCATGAGTTGAACAAATTGGAATGATAACAACTTCGAACGCACAGGGAAAACGGAATTTGCTTTGCTTGCTCGTTAGCAATCCTGCTCAGAAACACGTTTAGTGCGAATCATGGTTATGCTCAGAAAATCATGGTGTACATCACACGGAAGATTCGACGGCTGAAAGGGTAGAGTGAGAGTCGAACGCGTCGCGTAGTAAACTCGAAGTTGTCACGATCATGTGCTAACACGCCACAAATAATGGCAAACAGCTGAGAATACATGATACATTTGACATTTCAGGAGGTCCATCGCTATTTCGAAGCAGGGTATCTACGAAAAAATCAACGAGGCTGGCAGACCAGCATAAGAGAAAGGTATAGATGAAAACAGATGACCACGATCGAGATAGGTAAATAGGGTACAAGTCTTGATCTCGAACACAGGGTAAAGTAACAAGGGTAAGAAGGTCATCAACTCTGTCTTGCCGTGTGCATTGGTGAAGGTATAGGGGATGATGGTGCGCCAACTGGTAATCGGGCTGACGCGGGAAGGCCTATCATATGACTGTGTCTGTTGCCTTTCTTGCTAACAGCGATATTCAGGCCACGACTGGCGGCAAGATTAGATGCTCGTGACCGTTGTTCCACAGCAGCTCCTTCAGATCGGGAGAGCGAGAGATGATCAGCATTTTGTTGCGAGTCTTGTGGATGGTAGTGACTCGAAGATAGGTGAGTGCTCGACTGAGTTAAGTTCGACTCGACGGTTGCATCCTCGGTGGTATCATTTCCACTTTCAGAATGAAGAGAAATGCTGTCGCCGTCTTCAGAGGGTGTTTCGTCGGAAGGAGCTAAAAATAATTGTAAAGAGAGGAAGATGAACCAGGACAAATACATACTGTTCAAGCTCCTTCCAGACAAGCCCAGCAACTGATCAGCAGCAGCGTCTGAATATTGTCGACTGTTCCTGCGACTCATCTCCTCAACGTTATCCTCATCACCCTGTCCAGAGTCGACATTGAACACGCGGTTGAATTCGCCTAGCATCAGACTAAACACGCCTGCAGGGATCCCAAGAGTAGGGCTGAAGACAATGCCGACGTTGCGCATCGTCATTTTGTTCGCCGACGAGTTTTGAACGATGAGTATGAGATGGGCTGTGAGAGCACGCAACAGGCTATAGTTGGCAATCGGTAAGGAGGCGATGAGGTCAGACAGTTCTCGAATGCGTTCCTGTGCGTCGACAAAGTCTGCTACAGGTGTCAGCACAGGCAGGCTGATCAAAATGAAAGTGTACTTGCCGATCACTGCCAGAAACTTCAGATGCAGCTCGCGTGTCAGTATACTGGCGGGCAACTCCCGCAAAAAACTCTTCAAGAGTCCAGCGATGGCGTGAGGATCCCAATATTCATCTGATGCAAGAAGATCCACGTCCCCCTCTGCGAATAAGAGGTCAGACAATCATTCAGACCTCGGAGCATCGTGTAACTGACCAGCATTGAAGCGATCTTTGAGCCCTTTGATAACAGCTGAGCTCCCGCTGAGACGGTATATGCCCTCTTCTTGGTCTGCCTTCTTTGCCTCCAGGTACTGGATACACCTGAAAACTACTGCGGGCAGACGAGCGATCTCTGCGACCTCAATAGACTCTTCGAGTGGCACACCAAAGACAGCTCTGGGGATATGAATTATCGCCTTGTCCGCAGGCCGCCCAAAGTTCCAGAAGGATCGCGACTTCGCCTTCTCACGTCTGTCATTCGAAGATGTGGAACTCTCGGAAGGAGCATCCTTGCCGCCAAACTTGTATCCTGCTGGTATAGGCGCTCCGTTCATTGGAGCAGATATCTTTGCACGATCACCACCTTTTGGAGGTGCAGCGCTAGGTTCGGGTGATAGTGCACGATCACCAAAGTTTACTGCGGTCGGACTAGCTATAGCGGATAATCCTGGGTAGACAGACTTCCTATCACGTCGTTGCTCCCTCGACTTGTTCTCTGGTGAAAATGGTTCCTGCTTGAGGTGAGAACCGTGTTGTAGGTCCGAATAGTGCCCAAGCTCAGAGTTCGCTCTCAAATACATCAGATTTCCACTGCTTCCCTCTAGCGGCGAGGACGTGGGCAACGAGTTTGAAAGCTGCTCTGAGCTCCCAGAAGACAGCCCTCGCTCCAAAATTCGCCGAGCAGTCTCCTCCGCAGTGTAATGGTCTCGCTCGCGGTGGGCTGACGGGTCGAGTTCCTTGGTGGGACTAGCCGAGTGTGGGCGCGGATCCTGGGTGACCACAGGAACTGGTGCAGAGTGGAAGAGCTTCGCATTGGTACCGTCTTGAGCAAGCTGGCTGATAGGGACTGCGGCACCGCGCGAGATATCGTCCTTAGACATCGTCCGCATGGCGCGCTTTCCGTTGGGCGTGGACACCGAACCATCTTGAGTGGAACTCGTGCTCGATCTTGGCTGCGCAGATCCAAGTCCCTGCCCAGGAGGGACGTTGACGTTGATAGATATCGGACTCGGGGCAGCGGAAATGGATGTGGCAGGATCCTCGTTGAACGTTCCAGATACATATCGCACAAGAATGTCAACCCAGCTGTCACGCTCTGCATCGCTTTCTGCACAGAGAACATGGCGCGAGTGAGATCCATTTAGAGCTTTCTTTGCCTCGATGACGAGGAAAGCATGACGGTAATTTCTTTCGTCGTCATTGTCAGCTGTGCGCTGCTGTCGCCCGATCTGGGCGGAGGTAATCACGATCGAGCCAAGATGGGCGCCTCCACGCTGAGGGGGCACAATAAGACGGCTGTGGTTAATGACAAATGGAGGTTGCTTACACTTTCATAATACTCTAATACCGGACCCTGGAGGACAAAGTATCGTGACTTCCACCCACCAAAGTTCTTCCCCCGCTTCGTCAGGTATCCTTCCTTGTGTCCGGCCTGCATGACGGGCTTATGGGTATCTCGAACGATGTCGGAAGTGAAGAAGGCGATGATTTCGTCCTTATTTTTCACAGGTAGATCGACTAGTGATTGGAGGTACACCTCGAGTGCGACCTGGGCATCAATCGTGTATAAGATAGGACTATCACTGATGAACGTATTCTACTCACCTTGCGTTGATCGGACTTCGCAGGTGCATGGTCCCTCCAGATCCTTCCCTCTGGTAGTACGGCCATCTTCTTCCCAATACCCTTCCCAACGCTAGCTCGCATGCGATTATCAAGGGTCAACACATCCGAGTACAGCTTCTCCACCTTCCATGGCTCTTTACCATGTCCTGGGTACACATCAACGACGAATGATAAAACCTCCTTCCCACGGTCATTTGGTTTTACAGACGAGTGCGAGACAGTGACCCGCGTCGTCACGAGGTCGTCTGGTAAGAGAGGAAGCGCACGGAATGTCGCGCTGGTACCGGATGATGAAGTCGGATTTATCGGCGACAAGTAGGAAGTAGGTAGAGGAGATTCAGGGATAATAACAGAACCATTGTCGGACTGTAGTAGCTCCTGCTGCAGCTGCCAGTGCGCCCGCGAAGGCGCGCTCGCCGCCGCAGATGGCTGTGGGTTCGACTGTGTTGGCGTGAGCATTAATGCAGGATCCGAAGATTGCACGTGGGATGAAGGAATATGAACAGCGTCGTGGGAGGGAGGCATCGGAAAATCTTCTACTGCTGCATGAGATTTATTCTTCATTTTCGAGTGCTTTGCTATCGTCTCATCTTCACGTTCATCATCATCCATATCTAGGAACTCTGCCATCTCGTCTCTTTGCTCATTTGTCAGCATGATCGTGGGAGATTCCGCCCGGGGCGCACTAGTAGGCGCCTGTCCAGCATGGCACTGCATATCATCGCTAAACCCAGCCGTATGCGGTGGACTTCGTAATGGGCTCTCACGCATGTTGGCAATGTAAAGCTTCGCCTCATCTGGGAGCGAAACAGAAGATATTCGGGATGTCCGTGATGGGTGCTGTGAGTTATCAACTGTTGGGCTGAGCAAGCCTGTCTGAGATACAGTGTTTGAGATACCGGTGGGAGATAAGGTTGAGCTGTTCGGAGATACGGCTGAGCCATAAAGGGGGACGAGGGTATTGATGGATGGTGTATGAGGCTGGAGTGTGGTGGTGGAATAATGAGCTGGTCGAAGAGAAGCAGGAGGGGGTAGGTGAGCAGACTGGAGAGATGGTGGTGGTGCAGACGGCTGTTGTGAAGAAGGTCGTGAGTCAGTTGTACGTGGTACTGGAGGCCTCTCTAGGTCAATACTCGATTGTGAAGTTGAGCCTGGCGAGGTGGACCCACTAGAGGAAGTAGCAACAGATGCGGCGGCAAGTGATAATGAGGTACCTCGAGGAGGCACGACCAAAGGAGAGTTAAATGGACGGGTAGTCATTGTGGTTTGAGGCGTTTGAGGCGTTTCGAGATTGTGATCACGAGTGTTGAGTTCTGGGGGACAAGGTGGAGTAACGGGACGGGTGTCGTTACGAGACGGTGATGCTGGGAAGGCAGTATTTAGGAACGTGACCAGCACGAAACGAAACGATAGCTCACATGTGGCATCTAATTGGTCGTGAACCATCCTTGATCGCAAGTCGGCAGACCCATTGACAGATATACTCGATATCGTGGCATTGGATCCTGACGACCTCAAACTCCTAGTCTTGTCCTTCTCGCGATCCTTTGCCTTCTTTGCTAGCTCAGTGAACATTCCTGCTGCTTGTAAGCGAGTCTTGTAGGTTTCTCGTTCACTACGAACACGTTCAATTTCCTTGAGCACCTGGTTGTATGCGGCACGTTGCTTCTCAATGAGTTTCCAAAGTTGTGTATTTTGAGTTGAGAGGACGTTGCGTTCTGATAGAACTTGATCCAACGCAGCAAGTATTGGATTTGGTGCGCTGGCATGCGTGGCAAGGAGTGTTTCGAGAGAAATGGGGTATGTGGTGGTGTTGGCAGTTTGACCCAATGCAGAGGCCGCGATTGAAGTAGCGGAAGAGGACGCCTGAGGTCTCATTGACATCGGAGATGACGCTGACTGTGAAGTCGAACTTCGTTCGCGGGAGGGCGTAGCAGTCGCAACCGGAGTAGCCATTATAGCAAGTTGTAACAGGTCAACCTTCCGCGATAAATTGGACAACAACAAAAACTTGGAACAAAACTAAGGAGCCAAGCGAATCCTGAGAAGATGATTTTGTGGCAAATGAGCCCTAATAATCGTCGTAGCGCTGTACGATTCGATAACCTGTTCCAAGAATTAAAGGTCTTTATGGCAGCCTATGATGAGATTCTTACATACCAGTTCAGGTTTGGTTGTAAAGATGATAATAAGGCCGTTGTTTCGTAAGTCCGTATTCTAGACCGTCGTGGACAACGTCGAACTCGCCGTGTTTGACGTTGAGCTCGCGGTTGTAGGAAAGAAGGAAGTCACGGGCTCGAAGCTTAAAGTGGCTGTCCAGCAACCAGAGTGACACTATCAATATTAATGAATTTATCAGATCTGTCAAACTAATTAGCAGTCTAACTAGCTCGAGCCCGAAATTCCCGGTATTCACTAAAAACACAGGATCATCATCTACAAAGTTTTTTTATGACCAATCCTAGCGATCCAGCAGACACCGGAATTTCAATGTTACGGACCGAGACGATTACGCGTTTTAAATTGTACTACCATGAAATCTTGGTCACCGGTCAATGGTCATCATACCCTTTGCTGGCACCCAACACTAATTTGCTGGATCATCCATCCTGGTATTTCATTGCTTATCATAGTACGCCCGTACGTACTTCACAGTCTTCACTGATGGATTGACGTTAACTCTGTGTCGTTCTGTGGCGAACCTAGGCCGATATTCATCATCCTTACCGCATGTTCTACTGTCGGTGCATAAGGCTCACATCAAAATTTCGAGGCACCAATCGGAGGGCAAGCTACGGAATAAAACGGAGGAGAATATGTTTGTCTCCCGGCCAGTCGCATGTTGTTCGCAACCATCACAAGTCTGACAAGGTATGTTTTCATACTCGCCACAGATTGCCTATTACTTACTGTGGGCGCACCATGCCGAGGAGCTGAGGTTTGCTTTGTGCCTGACAAGCTTGCTGTGTAACATTACGGATAAGGCTATAAGACCCTGTCCGCAAAGTTCCTAGCTTGTGTTCTCCGATCAAATCATCCTTTCGCTAAAAACATGAAGCGCTGAATGTGATCATCAAATATCATTTTAAAACACAACCCGGAGTTGTCCATGATTCCGCAGCTGTAAACCGGGCTATGCAACTTGCACCGTCTTCGCAAACACTTTGCAGGGCAGGAAACGAAGTGTGGCGCACGTCCTCGACAGAGACGTGTGTATAGGAAGCGCCATGCTGCTACTGAGTTGGGTATGCACTGGTCGCCTCAAAAGCGCCTCCTACCTCACACACAATATACCCTAGCTACTTGCTCGTCAAAACTAGTGGAAGCTGTCAAACGTGCCGTGTGCCAGCGTGATAGTGCCTTCAATAAAGACTCACTAAGCTGCCGCCAGAGGACTCGATTTTTTTCTAGGAGAACGATGCTTGATAGACAACGACGATTCAGCCCGTCGCAGTGTGGCGCCAACCCCCCGCCATCGCGAATATGGCAGGGGTGGCACCTAGTACTGTGGAGGTAAAGAAGGAGTTCTCTACAAACTCGATCTCTTACTGGGTATGTAGGACTCTCAGCTGTACGGACTGGGCGAGTTTCATTGCCGCCGATTCAGTCACGCAAGCCGAGAGGGAATCGAGGAGGTGTTCGAGGATGTGAGCTAGATAGGGGAATTGGAAGAGCTGAAAGCAACAGCACTGGCAAAGAACTTTGGTGAAGATGCCCCCTGATAGATGTGGGTGACGCAGTAGTAAAAAGGAGAGGGGGGGAATGGAGTGTCTCTTAAATAGCACGCACACGTATATCCTATTTGTTGAAAAAAAGAAAAAAGAGTGGCCAAGCCGGCAGGGTGGTGAGCGGGTCCTCTGGAAGTCCGTGCCTGCCTTTTGAAACTGGTTTGGTGATCGAGGCGTTGGGGAGGCTAGGTAGTGCATCTGCTCCTTTTGTCTGAGAACTCCGAAGCGTCTAAGCGGAATTGATGGCCATGGAGGAACGGAAGAAGATTGACTGGAGTGGGGGTGATACAGCCGGGAGCGGTAGGCGATGAGGGTTGCCGCAATTGAGCCGAGCCGGTAAATGGGGTGATTGGCACTTCGTTTATGGTAATGGTATGGACATGAAGAGCTCGCTCGATACCCAGCTGCGTGAAAGGAGATGCCGGATAGAACTCGGAGGGACGTAGAAGACGCCTGGAATATAGAGTGAGTTGGCAGGGTGTATGACTATTCAAAGTTGAAGCAGGCAGGGGGTCCTGTTCGCTGGTATCGGGGCTGGAAGAAAAGCACATTGAAGATAGAACATGAGGGAGAGGGAATGGATACGAACAGATAAGGAAAGATGGTTATAAGGAGCGTGGAGACTCGGAAAGCACAGCTTATACTGGTGTGGAGCATGACACACGGCAATGAATCGAGCTTCATTAAGTCAGGCATTGCTTCCCTCGTCGTTGATGATCGACGACGGCGTACCTTTGTCACATGATGGGTCAGTAAGTTATGGCAGTTCATTGAGCCGCGGGGTGGCTGCTCGACCCTCGCATCGAGAACCGCCTGGACCACAGTACTGTTGAAATTGAAATGAAGCCTGTTCCTGTGTAAGAGACGGCTGAGTTCACCCATATTAAACACGTACCTTGGTGCCTTCCAGTAAACATTATTCCGTATTATATAACCCATCCTCTGAGAACGAAGGTCAGGTCCCGTGGACGGCGCACGAACGCACACTTATCAATGTATTTCTGCTTGAAAGGCACGTACGATCGATAAGTACTCTCGAAATTTAAGCAGCAGAAAATGTGTTGTTTCTACGATACCTGTAAAACCGTAGACAAGCCCAGGCTGAGGTTCGGGCAGGCCTGAAAAGCACTATTCTCCCCTAGGCAGATCAAATAGAAGGAGGACAGTCGTTTCGAACGAACCTCTTGAATTTAGAACAGCGCTGATCCGTGAATACAGCACCTTCCTTTCTAGGATGTCCAGAAACAGCATAGCAGCGGAATTGCTAAAACATGAACCTCTGACTCAATTGTCCTTTAGTTTTCCTTTAATTTCGCTGGCAGGTTTAGCTGAGCTGAATCATAACGACATAGAACGACAGGAATACGTAGACCGTCTAGTCCTCTCAGATCTTTCCCTCTATTCATAATGATCTCTTCAACAATCCGCATTGCGGCACTCCGTTTGCGACCGCCGCACTTCCTTCGGTATGCCATTCCAGTGGGCAGGAACAGGAACATATCCCACTCGATAGCCTCACAATATCCTACAAACACTTTAACATCGAGTCAGGACAAGAGATGACTCTGCTCTCGTAGAAACGGAGAAAGTCAAACCAGGTCATGCTGTCATTTCCACATTCGATTTGTTCAGCATTGGTGGTGAGTCCTTGTATCATTGAGTTTTGAGCATGAACACAAGGCTGAATGGATAATTGACTTATTCAGTGGGCCCGAGTAGCTCTCACACAGTTGGACCCATGCGCGCCGGCAAGATTTTCATTGCTGACCTGCAGGAGTTGCAGATGTTGGAGAAGGTACGTGCTTCCGCTCTCTACCTCAAAAACGTTCGAATGAACTTGTTCTGGAAGGTTAAAACTGTGAAAATAGTCCTGTGAGTGCAGGAGCGTAATTTCTTTCTGCATCAAGCTGACAGTGCAGTTGTGCATGATAGCTATGGATCGCTGGCTGCCACGGGTAAATATTTGGACTTCCAGAGTTCTGTTCGCTAATCGAGAGTTCTCTTCATATAGGGAAAGGGTGAGTATCTTATTCCGGCCTCACCATGATGTCAATTTCTCGTTGTTTACCATTGTCCTATTTGTGCAGGCATCACACTCCGCAGGCGGTCCTCCTCGGGCTTGAAGGCTCAGACCCTGAAACTATTGACACGGGTACAATTTCTTCCCGTTATGAGGCTATACTCGCAAATAGAACTCTTCATCTCGGAGGTATTCGCCGCATTACCTTTGATATGGACCGTGATATGTTGTGGCGGTGGGATCAAGTACTCAAGACACACCCGAATGGCATGCGTTTCTCGTGCTTTGGCGAAGAAGGCGAACTCTTGGCAACTAACGAATACTACAGGTATGTATAATAACCTTAAGGTTTGTTCAAGGACTTGAATAAAATAATAGCGTTGGAGGAGGATTTGTAGTAAATGAGAAGACAAAGAGTACATCTCCCAATATTGATATTGGATTGTGGGTCAACGGCTAACTCATGCAACAGTAGACGAGAATTTATTCTACAAGGGTGTCGACAAGAGCGCGGTGCATGGAGCAAGGTTGCATCAGACCCACAACGCCGCCGAAGGAGATCAGACTCCAGCTCAACCAGCAGCGAATGATCCTGGGCATCCGCCGTATCCGTTTGAGTCTGGAAACAGTCTCCTAGCACTCACGAGAAAACATAACGTACGTTTCACTCCTTCATGGAGGTATCTGATTGTCACTAGTCAAATAGCTCACTATCGCACAAATCGTACATGATAATGAACGCTATTTTGGTCTATCCGAAACCGATATCGATGACAAGGTATTCGTCTGCCTTGACATATCAGCTTCAAATATGGTTAACTGTGATTGTATGTAGCTCATGCGGATATGGGCGGTCATGGATGATTGCATCCGGTCAGGGGTGAGTACCGCTGAGAAGACTCTCCCCGGTCGTTTGGGCCTCCGACGCCGTGCTCCGATGCTGTACAAACGCTTGATGCGAGGGTCAGTTATAGCTCACTGTGTACTTACCGATGAACATAATCCTGTAGTGAAACAGGTTTTATCCCGGGATTGCAACACCCGATTTACAGCTCATCGGTTCCACATCCGCCGCTCCTGTCGGGGCAATAGATGCTCCAGAATCAGACACACAATCTTCGTCTTATGCGGACGGAAGTGACGGATGTGGTGAAGTAAGTGCATCAGGAAAAATGCCGCGCGCTCCATGGGTTACGGGCTCGTTCGATCATGCAATTCTGCCAATGCCTCCGGTAATTGCTCATTTTCGCGAATCTGCAGGATCTTGACATCGCGTATAGCGTAAGACAATGATACCCGCTGTCGATTTCCTTTCTTGTTACGCAATCGCTGTAAACGAGGTCAATGCCAGTGGGGGGCGCATTGTCACTTCACCAACGAACGGTGCGGCGGGCGTCATCCCTGCTGTGCTGAAGTATGTCATCGAATTCATCAGCGATGACCCTGAGAAGTCTATCAAGACCTTCCTCCTGACCGCAGCAGTATGCGATGCAGATCAGTTTCAAGCGAAAATCGGACACTAACGAAAGTTTACAGGCAGTGGGCATGCTATTCAAGAGGGGCAGTACAATTTCAGCTGCGGAAGGAGGGTGCCAAGCGGAAGTCGGTGGTGCGCTGACTCAATTCTGATAGAAATGATGGTGTTCATGCCACTATTATTAGTTGCATGTTCTATGGCCAGCGCTGGTTTTGCTGCCTGCATGGGTGCGTCGCCCGAAACTGTCCTTCAGGTATGTGTTTCTGTTTTGTACTATGTCAGACTCTATTGAGTATTTTCCAGGCTGCAGAAATTGGCATCGGTAAGATCATCTTATTTTCCAATCCATGCCTTTTTGTTTATGGTCTGCAGAACATAATCTGGGATTAACTTGCGACCCCATCGACGGGCTGGTCCAGGTGCCTTGTATTGTAAGCTACTGTGAGAGTATCCTGAAGCTCATATACTCATCTAGCCCTACAGGAACGAAATAGCCTTGGCGGTACATCCGTGTTTCTCCATTCGATGATACTGTTTACTGATAAGGGACTGCGCAATGTAGCTGTGAAAGCCGTGACCGCAGCTCAGCTTTCCATGGCTAGCACTGGTGTATACCGCGTAACCTTGGACGAGGCAATTGAGGCAATGCGCCTCACCGCAGCTGATATGAGCGTCAAATACAAAGAAACTAGTCTATCCGTATGCCAATTCATCTTTAATATATTTTCTCTCACTGAACGCTGAATTTAGGGTCTTGCTGTAAGCTCGCTTGAGTTTTAGATGTTTCATGACCATGACGTCTCTTTGTAGACAACCGTGAAAATTCCGCTGACTGTGCCTGCATGCTAAGCAATCGGTTTGCTAATCGGGTCGTTCCCAACGACTGGATTTTATTCTTGCTGAATCATCGCTGGAGATACCTGCTTTTTAGAATATGGACGGTCTGGATTTCACAGGGCTTCTGGCCCCAAGACGACTCGGTAATTTTTATTCGTGCCTATACCTTGAATAATACCTACATTTGGGATTGTCATAGATTTTCGACAGGGCTCTGCAGGACATTTTATGATCCCGTCACATACTTATACCAACTTGCCAGTGTGCGATTTGACGGGGCATGCACACATGAGTGTGAATACTATATGCTATGTTAGAATATTTGGCTAGATTTGGTTACATTAAATTATTAATGCGTCTGCCACACTCGCATGCTTCAAAGTCACCCGACGAAAGCTTCAGCATTCGAGAGTTGTTTACATCGTCTATATCTTGACTACACATGGATCCAGGACATTCCAGAGTCCCATCGCCGTCGCAGCTGCCGGCTTCATTCTCTAAATATCATCATCCTTACTTCACGTCAGCTGAGGTACAATACCTATCCGAGAAACAACGCGGAAAGCTGTCTGCCACGCAAGAGGAGAAAGCAAGACAGCAAGCATGTGGATTTATAGAAGCTGTGGGCTCAAAGATTGGCTTGTGCGTTTTTGCCTACAGAGAAATGGATACTGGTGTTGACGGCAAAGGACAGTCCCAGGAAGACTTTAGCCACTGCTCAGAATCTGTACCACCGGTTTCACTTGTTCTTTCCTCGAAAGGACTTCAACTATCACGATGTTACTCTGGCAGCTTTGTACGTCTCCACTAAGATGCATGACACGCTGAAAAAGCCTCGGGAGATCCTCATGGTCTCATATGCCGTGCGATTCCCAGAGCTTGCAGCCAAGTCAAAGTCCGTCGGCGGAGAAGTTGATATGGATCCTGCGGTGGGTGACGATCTATGAATTATAGGTGCTCTTCTACTGACGTGGTCCATTTAGACGGCTGAGAACGACCGCCAGAGACTCCTGGCTGTGGAGCGATTGATATTAGAGACCATATGCTTCAATTTCACCAGCAAAATGCCGTTTTCGTATGTGATCAAAATTGGGAGGAAGATGAAAGGTGCTTCTACTCTATTCAATGCTCTCTGCATTTGTATATTCAACCTTCTGCATATTTAGCATCAAAGAAGTTGATTAAATGCGCATGGCGACTCACCATTGACAGGTGTGTCTTTGTGGTTCACCTTATGTTCATATCTGAGCAATGACAGCCACAGGACATTGGTGCCGATCATGTATCCACCGAACACTGTCGCATTAGGATGTCTCTATACTGCCTCCTTATTAACAACTCTTGAACCGCCGCCATCTCCCCTTGTAGAGACACAATTGGACTCGCGGGTAGCAACCATTCTAAAGGAAAAAGGCGATTGGGAGCGGACGTACATGGCTGAAGCCGAGGACTTGGAAGGTCGGAAACTTCTCTATTTGCATTCCCCAACTGATTGTCACCTCCCACAGAAATTGCGCATGTACTTATTGACCTGCTCATACAAGCCGCGCAAAATCCGTCGGCCAATACGTCTCCACGCACTCCGGCATCACCTTCTCCACACCCGTCCCCACGAAATCAACATTTGTCATCCACTGGCACCCCGCAACCTCCACTAATTCCATACAAAGCAGATCAGCTCATCCGTCTTAAGATTATGATGCGGCAAAACGAACACCCGCTACGGCCACAACAACCTCTCGGGAGTGCTGATCCAAGCGAGCTATATAATGGGAATGATATTGCCATGCTGGGGAGAAACCAAGGGACTGTAAGATTTTTGTTTGGACCTCCAGGAGTTGTTGGTCAAGGAGTGTAGGGTGGCAAAGATTTGAACCGTGAATTTCACTCTATAAAATTATTTTTGAGTTAGGTTGTAGCAGGTTCGGTAGCGGCCTCCGTGTGAGTTGATTTTGAATCACAGTCACAGCTCCAAGTTAAAGTCGCATCAACCGTGACTGTTTGTTTGTCGTCCCCAACTTGGTAGCTTTATTTCTTGGCATTTGTGACAGACAGGATGGACCAACATATGACCTTGCAAGATCTGGCACCGTTCGCTGGCACACAGGACGATGCTGATCCTTGTTGGACTGGTGGCATCAGGAAAGGTAATTACATTTGATTTTGGAATGGTGGTCGGGAGAGATGGCCGACACAATTCTTGTAGTCCACATTTGCTCAGGCACTCGAACATCACTTCCCGCAATTTCGCAGGTGTAATCAAGATGAGCTTGGGACGAGACAGCGCGTCGAGAGTTTAGCTCACCGCACGCTCCGCGAAGGCTTATCGCCTTGTATTGACAGGTGCAATTTCGATGTGATGTAAGCCTTATTCTATCACGTTGTATGCAGGCTGAAGAAGCTGATAATATTACGGCCGATCCACGAAAATGTCATCACCTACAGACAGCGATCCCACTGGATCAACATCGCTCGCCAGTTTCCTGGTACTTCGATCAGCGTTATTGTTTTTGATACCCCCTATCAGGTTCGTTGAGATTCACGAGAAGGAACCAAAGCTAATCGTAGCTTTATCATGCACTGCATTTACATCTAGGTCTGCTCCGCCCGTCTTCAGGAACGTACGTGAACTTGTTTGTAGATTATTTATTGCAGATATTGATGATGGTATCGCCCTATAGGAAGTTCACATCCAACTATTAAAGACCCTCAACAAGGTCAATCTATTCTGGCTAGGTTTGCGTCAGACCTTCAGTTCCCGCAACCCAACGAAGGGCATGATCATATTCTTTACTTAAAGCCTTCGGACCACCCTCATCCCGAGTATACGGGCGAAGACATTGGTTTGATATTACAACGGCTCCAAGCTTCTTCGACATATTTCAAACGGGGAAACATTCAGCCTCCTATGCAGGCTTCCTTCGTTTCCACAAGCTCAGCATTCATTCAGAAACGAGGTCGCGGGTACGGAGCTCGTCGCGGTGGCAGGGGCCACCGCTTTCCGTCCAGTAGACTTCCCGAATCCTATTCTAGAAGGGGGGCGACGACCGCGGAGGAATCAGCAGAGTTGTAAATTCAGAAACGTATTTGACGAGTGGACTCGAGGATTGTGATAGAGTACATCTCGAGTCCCATGGAGCAGTCCGAGGAGTGCGGACAGGTACTGAAAATCCTAAAGATTCCATGGAGATTGTATGAACGTCAAACCCTGGGTCAGAGAATCTGTAACTTCGCATTATTAGGTTCATGAATATAAAATACTGCCTTCAAAAGTAGTCCAGTGCCGGGTTCCTTGGCAGGATGGATCTCGTCTAAAGCGAGACTAAAGGACGAGACAAGTACTTCGCAGGTAGCCTAGTGTTAAATTTTCAAGTGACCGGAGACCATGCTTTCTGATGCGACAAAACCCGCCTGAGAATCGGCATTATGAATCTGATTTTTTTGCTGAGCTGTCCGTGCTATCCGTGTTTTCCGCGATTTTTATGGTTTTACCTAGAATCTTTGCGCTCACCTGCAGGTGAAGTAGTGATATATGAGATTTGAAAACAACGATCGAGATTTGAACTACTAACGTTCCGAATATGCATTGCGGCACGCTCGACGCCGTATTCTTTGGCACGTTTATACTGCTTCAGAGCCTCTTCGAGCTGCCCAGCTTCACAAGGAACGGAAGTTAATTTTAGGAACAATAAGCCATGTCATAATTTACTCACTGGCTTCCAAAACTGCGGCGAGATTGAAAGCAATCTCAGGGTCTTCCGGTGAGAGAGAAGCCGCAATACTGGAACACAATAGTCAATGAACCGATAAGGAATCTCTAAGCAGTTTACGTGCTGGAGATGATGCAAAGCAAGGTCAGGACGTGCAACAGGGGATATTATGTATGCGCTTGCGATGTCTTTCGAATACCAATGTCGTCATCCTAATTTAGGCAGCTCTTAAGATGAGGCACGCACTTGTGTGAGCATCGGCACTAGCGGGTTGCAGTGCTATTGACTCTTTCCAGGCCGTAATAGCGTTGTCAAACTCCTCTAAGAATATATTACTCAGCACCCTGAAATTTGTGGAGATGAGTTGGACAAACTGAGGTGATAATGCGTGACGCCCAAGTTGAATAGAGAGCTAGCATTACGCTTGATTTCGACACTACGATTGTAAAGTTCTTTGGCGCCTTGTATGTCACCTTCTTCTAGCTTCTGGGTCCCCTGTTCTAGACATTGCATGGCTTCCATCTCTGCAGGATCTGATGCCGTCGAATGCAGTGTAGTGGAAGTTGCCCATCCTTGAAAAATACCATTTTAACGCCAGATGAAAGTAGAAAATGCTGGTGCTGACTTTTGAATACATTGTTCCATGATTCACCCACACATTTGCGACGGAACGCATAGCCGGGACGCGCTGTGGCAATGACAAGTGCTTCGTGGCCTGCCGTGTGTAATAAAAGCCTCGAACAGGGAGTTCGGCTCGATTTGAAGGACGCATTTGTCCTCAAAGAGAAGCTAGTAAGTCTTGAGAGGGCGCGTGTGCTCGCGGTTGCAAAGGGCATTTTTCTAATTGTTCAAGTTTAAAGCGGTAAGTATGTCTGGAGAAGATCCAAGTCGGTGGTACTTTAGGTAATTTATTCCCACGCAGCATCGCGTGGTTCCAAAATTTCGTCGGCTGCCCGCTCATTGCTCTCATTCGCCACCAAAGCTGCTTGTTCTTAAGCATGTCTTCAAGTGACTCTCAAAACTCGGCCTCCGGCTCGCAAGATCCAACATCTTTTCTGCGGTCGGCTACTTTCTCGCGTGATGGACCAGCAGTGTCCGTGGAGAATGCTGTAACGGCTAACGACTTGCTCCTGGGTGCATACGACCCAGCTAAATTACACCCTCTAGCTCAACTTGGGGATCAATTAGACTATCTTGTACTAGATGATGATAAGACGAGCGAGTTGCCAGGGGCTGGCACTGCCATCCCTTCTCGAGGTTGGAGTGATGATTTGTGCTACGGAACTGGCACAATGTATCTCAGCGGTAGGTCTTCCCTCTTTCGGCTCCCTAACATGAGTTTTGCACGAGTTTGTACGTCTATGGCTCGTGCCCTCTCTCATTCCATCTTCTCTCACCTTATCGTATTGCTGTCATCTCCAACTTCGGCCATTCTTATTGTTTTCGCTTGTCACATGCTCATCCATCTTTCCTCAAGGTCTGGCATTGGGTGGCTTTTGGGGTGTGAGTGAAGGCGCTCGAAGACCACTAGCCGTATCAAATACCCGCCTCCGGATCAATAGCGTTCTCAATTCTGTCACGCGAAGAGGGACGTTCATAGGTAACTCGGCTGGTGTACTTGGTGAGTTCACCTTTCCTGTCAGGGTACGTCACTAATTTTTCATGACTCATAGCCCTCGTCTATAATGGAATCAACTCCACCATTGACTCTTTTCGCGGACAACATGACACAGCTGGCAGTATGGCTGCGGGTGCATTAACAGGCGCCCTCTATAAGTCGACAGGTACAAATGGTTTTCCCCAGTTTACGTTTTCTGATATATAAAAAAACTTTTCTCCATTAGCCGGAGTAAAACCCGCTCTTGCAGCAGCATCAGTGATCTCGGGAGTGGCAGGGATTTGGAGCTACGTGAAGAAGAGCGTATGATAGACTCCAGTAACATATACCTCCCTAATATTTGCTTACCTATGTGGGATTTATTTTGACATGTAAGCGTCCCAATGGGATTTACAGAACCTCGGCCGGTCGTCCAGGCCTGTTTAGATCACTACTGCGCGAGATCCAAAGAAGACGTGCTTTCAGCTTCCCAAATACTGCCTCGAACAGATTTGGGACCCTATATCGGTCGCCTTCAGATCTGTCAGTGTCAAACTTTTTGGGTACTGAGGTTCAGAATTCTGATACCTTTCAGTCTTCCTCTGACCCCGAGCTCCGCTCCCTGGAAATAGGTATTATATGATATGATCGCCTACAAACGAAATGGATAAATTCCAAGCTCCTATGCTCTGGAGTATTGATTAATCCTCCTGTTGGCTCATTGTGCGCCTTGTCTCCCAGGCAAATATCTCGTGACATATGCATACTTGCCCTATTGACTCCTACTGGTCCAGGCAATACTCATGGGAAAAGGTGTCAGCCAAGAATGGTTTGAGCTCTCCCTACAAGTCGTTGAATTATCACGCTCACGATATTGACCATGTGTCGCGCACGCGCCTCAGTGTCGAAGGAGATGATGCAGTGAGTGCTTGCTTGCTGTCTATCCTCTCGCACGCATCGGAGCCTAGCTCACTTTCCGCCATCACAAATGTCTCAGCGCACACATCAAATACGTCCGGTAACGCCTATCACACCGGTGAAGTGCATATCTTCGTACGTGGTCCATTTTTTCTAGGGCTCCGGCTTGCTGAGCAAACTGCGCTTGATGCCCAGCAGCTACAAGAAGCTCTTTCACGAACCGCCCTGGGAAAACCCTCAGGGTTCACCGAGGTCCGTCGCTGCAAGCGACCATTCAAACACGCAGTCGCCTCCGTCAACCTGGAGTATGCCATCTCAGTCAGAGTCATCTAGCCAGCAGGGTACTGCTTGGAGCCAGGCTTCATCCATTGATCGCGCTAGTCCATCCGTGTCTAATCAATATATTTCGAATCAATCTCGGGTCCAACATTCCTCGTTCCTAAACGATGGTCAAACGAGGCAAGTTATTTGTAGTATGTTGATCTTTCTCGCGCTGATGAATTGGTAAGCTAGGTCATACCACCTTGATGTCGTGCAACATCCCCAAAGGACCGCGGAATTTGGTTCCGCTAGTCTCTCCCGTTTGCCACTAGCTCCGCCAGTAGTCGTGCAGCTCACCGTACGCGATCGCTTTGGGAATTCCATCATTCCGTAAGTCTCGTCAGCACCTCACAAGGTTAGCGTACACCAATATATTTTGCCGACAGTGAGATGGAGCTGCCATTCTTGATCGCCCACTTATCACTGTTCACGGACGATGGGTCACGGCCGTTAGACATGGGTACCTCACCAAACGGAGAGGCACCTCCGCGGCGTTTGCTTTACGGAAACCTAGTGTCGTCACCTCAGAAATTGCGCGACCTTCAGGGCCGTCTTGGATTATATTTTCTGTTCCCCGACGCGAGTATACGTTGGCGCGGCCGCTTCCAGCTCGGGATCTCTTTATTGCGGATATCAGAGTACGTGAAGCAGGAATGAGGCGGGTGACCGTATGACTGAATTTCATTCATTTCTTATATTCACAGGACTAATGCTTCTGGTACTATGAGTATTGCATCTCAGGGGACTGTACTTGCACAGGCTCGCACACGGTCATTTGATGTCTATGCCCATGAAAATTACGTTGCACCGCGTAAGGATCTGGCTTTATTGTTGATCTTTCTTGCTGATCAGTGGCACCGACCCTTTCCCAAACAGCCATTACACGCTTAACGCAAAGCTTCCTGAGACAGGGCGCACGAATCAATGCCTTCACGCCAAACGGCCCTTAGACCCTAGAATTTGCGTTCGGATTTTCTGACGCATGTTGGTCACCTTCGCACAACCTTCGCAATTTTTTTTCGCTTTCGCTTTCCGCTGTATATCATAGTCGGTGCACTCATTCGACCTTTCCACACTAACACCTGTTTTTGCTATTTCTTGTCGTTGCATGCTCTTGACCTGCTGACTGCCTATATCATCTGGCTATAATTGCAAACACACGTTGAGGAGATAAGTTAGATTATTCAATTAGAGTTTGCATGCTGCATCGTCCAATGTCTTGGTGAGGTAATAACCAGCTATAAAGTAAGCGAAGGGCGTCTGCATGACAATTAACCCGTAACGTTGAGTCGTTGACAGGTTGAGCGCCTTTGAGTGTCATCGTCGATCTAATGCCACTAAGTGATGGCAAGATTTCGCCTAAAGTATAACTGCGGCCGACGATGAGAGAGATCATGCAAATATTCTACTATAGTAGTACGCCTGCAGGGATTCATTTCCGGTCCAGCGATGGTTAGACGGCGCCGCAGTAGTGATTGATCGATGACACACTGCTCTGGGACCCAGTAGCCAATCCATATCATATAATAAGGTTGATAGCTCATAAGATATTTTTGCTCACATGCAACTGCGGTATGGGCTATGGCCTTGGTGCACAGGTCAGCCGGTGGCCATGCATGTCAAATTGTCAATAATGCTGCGCAGTGCGGGCCATTTGTACCACTGCTGGGAGTTGGACACCGCCATGACATGCCTCGTGCAGCGTGAGAAAAGTGCACGAGATAAGTTGGTGCAAAACCCCAACGGGTTCTACACACTCTCTCCTTCTCGTCGTCAACGTTTATTAACGGTTTCCTCTATTGAAAGATGGCCAACAAAGATTACTACGGCGGCGGTCAGCAACAACAATACTACCCACCCCAAGGTTGGTCACATTTTATGATGTTTTGATGGTTGAAACCTGATTCAAGGACCATAGGTCCACCGCCAGGACAGGGGGGTTACTATCCTCAACAACCCCAACAATCGTACGGAGGCCAGCCTTATGGTCAACCTTACGGCGGACCTGGGTACCAACCTCAACCGCCACCACAGACAGTTTATGTGTTAGTATCCTCACTTAACCCTGCATGCCTGAGCTACGCCCTAACACGAGGCTGAAATTTTTTGCAGACAACAACCCGCTCAGTCCAGTGGTGCTGGTGGAGGTACTGGCTGCTTGGCTTGTCTTGCTGGTGCATGTCTTTGCTGCTGTGCTGAGGGTGGGTGTTTTTCGAAGTCTTGGCAAATCACCGGCATACTGAAATTTTGCCCCAACAGAGGCACTTTGTGACTGTCTATTGTAAGATTTGGGAATTGCATCGGAGGCTACTGTCCGCTGGCACGTGCAATATTGCCTAGTTGATGAGGAACTGCTCACGATCACGTCGTATATGCTGGTTGGATGTCTTTATGCTACGATGGACACCGTGACGAACCTTTACTTTCTCTCTTTTACGATTTGGTCACCAGGCATCCTGATTTCTATTCGTTGGACTACGATACCGTACTTCGTAATAGTATCATGTTTGAATGACCGTGCCTGCTTTTTTTGTAAAATTATTCGTCAAAGATATATATTACACCTTTTCCAATTTTTGCATGTTTGGAGAAAGGCGTGAAGGCTGTGAAATCCAGGTGATCGTATTGGAGGATCGGGAACTACGGTACTGCTGGCTAGCCTCCGGTTCGTTCCGTGACTGATATGTGTGACGCGTGACATTGACAGTGACACCACTTCAAGCCTTTCCGCTCCTCGAAAATCTTGAGGATTTGAAACCAAAATGTTGTCGAGGCTGCCCGTGGCCGCGCTCAAGAGCCAGTCTGCACTAGGCGCATCTCGCTCTACCTTCAGCGCCTTCAGGACGCGCGCTACGTCGGTCAGTTCTACTTCTCAAAAACTAACCCGAAGTTTGCCTGCTCAACCTCCGACAGCAGGTCCGATTCGCTTCATCCAGTTCAGCGTCCTCAGCTACACTTGAGGTTCGTTCTCTATGTATCTTGGAATGTTTCTCAAAAATTTCATTCGTTTTTAACTGCAGTCGTTGTTCACATCTCGCGCGTCACTCATTTCCGCTACCCTGTTCTCTGCTGGCTCGATAGCATGGTATTCCCATCTATACGGCTCCCTCCCCTTCATTGGCGAGGTGCATGCAAATTCGCTCGCCGACGACGGTCTTCATCCCACTGCGTATCCTTGGTCACACAAGGGCCTGTTCGACAGCTTCGACCACTCTAGGTATGTCCGCGTTAACTACTGTGAAATATCTTCCGACACCCGTACCCCAGTATCCGTCGCGGGTTCCAGGTCTACCGTGAGGTTTGTGCCGCGTGTCACTCGCTCGACCGCATTGCCTGGCGCAACCTCGTTGGCGTGTCTCATAGTGCCGACGAAGCCCGTTTACTCGCCGAGGACTTAGAGTACACGGACGGCCCAGACGATAAAGGCGAGATGTTTCAGCGTCCCGGAAAGCTTTCCGACTACCTTCCCTCTCCATACCCCAATGAGGAGGCTGCTCGGGCCGGTAACGGTGGTGCCCTTCCTCCTGACTTAAGCTTGATCATCAAGGCTCGTCATGGTGGTGCAGTAAGTAGTTTGAATTGTTGTTACAATGAAGAAATTCGCTCATATGTCGCTTCGTCAACTAGGATTACGTGTTCTCCCTATTGACGGGTTATATCGACCCTCCGGCTGGTGTTGAAATTCGTGAGGGCATGAACTACAACCCTTACTTCCCTGGTGGTGCCATCTCCATGGAGCGTGTCCTCTGGGACAATCTCGTCGAGTACGACGATGGTACGTTCTTCTTTGGTACACTGGGTTGACCCTGTATTGAAAGTCGTTATAGGTACCCCCGCCACAACCTCTCAGATGGCCAAGGATGTTGTCACCTTCTTAAACTGGGCAGCCGAGCCCGAGCACGATGAGCGGAAGAAGATGGGAATCAAAGCTGTTATCCTATTCTCTGCGCTATTCGCTGTCTCCATCGGGGTGAAGCGGTTCAAGTGGACTGTGATCAAGAACAGGAAAATGTGTAAGTTCTCAACCTCATTGTTGCTGTTAGCAGATTTTGATAACGAGTTCACAGTCTACAACCCGCCTAAGGATTTGAACCATTAGAGAGCTTGTGTACATTGGGCGGGTCAAGTATCCCTTAGACTCTTACGGCTATCAGATGCTACCATTTTTGTTGCATCTTCTAATGAGACTACTTTTCAATCGTAAGGGTTTTGTGTGTGAACTTTAGCTGCCTTACCAAGGTCTGTGAATGCGAAGGCATATGAGAAAGACACTGTACCACCGACGACCGTGGGAAACTCGGGATGAGAAGTAGAGGACATGCTGGTACTTCGTTTACTAAGGGTCGTTATCCTTTCTTCTCGCAACCTACTCAAGTTTTCCTTTCACCAATTTCTATCACACACTATTACCAACAGTGGTCCTCACCCCAATATCGGAGCATAAAGCATACCAAAAGTTTATCACTAAATCACCATGTCGTCCGAGTCATGGCCTCCACCACTGAAGTAAGCGCCCATCTCCTCACTTTAAACTAGTGAAGCTGAGGTCGGTGGATCAGAGAATGGGTAGCACGATGTCTGGGGCAAATGACAGATGCTAATAGGGCAGAGGCTCAGGCTGAGCTGAGAGAGTCAATTGCTAACGCTTTCGCTGAAAAGACTCTGTGGACAACCGACTGGGCTGGTGTACAGTTAAAAAGGTGCGGTCTGAGTTCGTCGCAAGCTGAGTTACAGATTTCAGTGACTTGCAACATCCAGTCTGATGCCCAAAGCTCCCCCGGTGCTTAACTCCCTCAAACGCAAAATGTCGGTGTCGCACGTTTCTAAGATTGCTGTGGCCCATTGACGTCCTTTAGGAATGATGCTCCACCCATGAGCAAGAAAGCAAAGAAAGCTGCGGCGCAGAAGCGCAATGATGCCAACCTTGACTTCGGGGATCAGGCAGCTCTTAATCGCCGAGCCGAACGTTTTCAGCGGGAACATGATATAGAGCGACAGAAGAGTATGCGCGGTCAGGCCTCTCTCCAGGCTAATCATCAGAATGCTCACCTCTTCAACCGGATATCACGTTCCGATTCGCCAAGCGCCTTTGGTACTAATGCTGACGATCCTGAGGCAGATCCCGTTCGTCCATTTCCTCTCGCAGTCAACGAACGCTTATGTTATTGCTTAGAATGTGCTAGACTGGGATAAGTATACCATCGTCGGGACGAACCAGGAGTTATTTAAGGATTATCTACGTCTTACCTCGGTATGAGATCACTCGATACAATCGTTCTTCCTTTCTGACTGTCGCACAGGAGCCAAAACCGGAGACGATCCGCCCGTACTCAGTCCTCCAGCAGACACTCATCGAACTCAAGAAACGCTGGAAGGAAAAAGTGTCATACAACTGGATATGTAATCAGTTCAAGAGCCTGCGACAAGATCTCACCGTGCGTCATCCATCACTCGTATATTTCATGTTGACACGTGCCCCTCTTGGTAGGTGCAACGAATAAAAAATGAGTTTACAGTACAGGTATACGAGATCCACGCACGTATGGCACTTGAAAGCGTAGGTGCTGGATTTCATATGCGGCTTACAGCTGATCTGCTGCTGCAGTCGGACATGGTAGAATATAACCAATGTCAGGCAACACTTAAGAATTTATACGACCTCGGCATACCAGGCAAACACGAAGAATTTACCGCCTATCGCATTCTCATGCTCCTGCATGGACGGAATAAAAGCGGTGTGCCCCTTCTTCCCCTCTTGTCAGTTCAGGATATGACTCATACTTGTATTCCCGCTTCACTGCGTAGAGCTTAATCTCTACGTAGGTACGCTGACACCACGACAGAAAAGGGATCCCGCAGTGCAGCATGCACTTCGGGTCCAGCGCGCTATCTCCATGGGCAACTACCATGCTTTGTTTGAAATGTATTTGAATGCACCAAACATGGGGGCGTATATTATGGATTATTTCATTGATCGGGAGAGGACCAGGGCACTGATGACTATGACAAAAGCGTGAGTATCCGTTGTCTCTATATAAAGATAATCTTATCTTACTCATCTCCATCAGATACCGCACAATAACAGTGTGCTTCATCCAGAATGAGCTCGGCTTTGAAACAGTGTCAGACACACTGAAGTTCGTAGAAACACATGGTTCCGCCTTTTTCACCAACCCGAACGCCCCCGATCGGGACAAGACGGTTGAGTGTAAATCTGCCGCACCACAGTTGGCACAGGTTTACGAGGAGAAATACCGCAAGGTTGGGATCAAGGGTGCAATATAGTTCGCCTCCTGCATACTAGTGCATCTCCCTTTCCGCTCCATATCGTACCTCCAACATCTTCCTTCCTTGTCTCTCTTATCCCTCTCTCGTATCGCTCCCTGCAACACCTGTCCGTCTTTTCCGTCTCATTCACATATCATCTTCATCTTGTCCGCTCGATCTCACCTGGATTCTATACCATAGAAGGAGGAGAGATAACTTATATATCGCAGCGACTACTCCATTCCCCAGCCTTTCCCTGGGCCTGTTTCTTCTCTCACCACAGTCACAACACAGTCTTCAAGCCTTGGACATGAGAACCAAGAACACAACACGGTATAGAATCTTATTCTTGGCGTCTTGCGGTTATAGTTTCTTAAAGCTAGAGGGAGAGAATCAGGATGGACTTATTCTTGGGTAGCTGATTCTGGTCTTCCAGCGATGTAACGCCATACCAACAGTTTGTTGATGGGACTTAATTTGTTGGGTTTATGTGGCGAGTGTGTGCGGGGAAGGGGTGGGAGGAGGTTGCTTTTTTGTATGTTATGTATCGTCTTACAATTGAAGTTAATGCCAAGCGCGTTTTATTTGTAATTGAGTGTGCATTCAAGAATAAGTCGTTGTTTCAGACATTGGGAGCTGCGCTAGCGCAATGTGAATGTAATGCTGGACAACGTTGACAAGTCGGATATGGTGTAACGGTTAACATTGCTGTCTTTCACACAGCGGCCCCGGGTTCGACTCCCGGTATCCGAATCATTTTTTGCTAACTTGACTCAGTCACTATTCGCGCAGAGCGTATGTTGCAATCTTTCTGCGGGGGAGGAGTCTGCCACCCAGACCTGATTTTTTGGAGAGCAGTTGAGGAGCGGACTATGACGAGGCTGCTGATACCACGCGCAACTTCCACTTACAACAAAAAAAGATTGACGGGTGTAGAAGTGAGCATAGAAGGTTCATCTTGCGATCAATTGAAGCGATGTTTTGAATCGTGCAAAGCCATGCACAAAGTGAATTGCACCAGGGTTTAAGACATCGACAAAGAGTTCCCTAAAGCTAAAACCCTTTCATCACTGCTGTTCGCCTTTCCGGCAGCGGGACTACCACGGTCAGACTGAATAGCGATATGTAGGAGGGAGCAAAAGTTAGCATTTCGCTCAAAACCAACTCTAGGCTTAAGCCGAAACAGATTGTACGAGGGTCCGTCTCAGATTTCATTCCATCCTTAGCCCTTGAAGAAGCATCCAGGGTTGAATTGCGAGGGGTTCGTGGATCGTGGAACATGAACCTGTCGCAGTGAAGGGATTCGATTATGTCCATACATCAAACACAAAAAATGGGAGCACCAACCAAATGTTAGGTATTATCAGGGAGTCTTTTGGAATGTAGCATCCATCCGTGTTCAGTGACACGGTAGGGGATAGCTATAAGATACCATCGTCAATTGAAGAACGATATAAGCGAGATACACATACCAGTTGGGACTACAACATTGTAGCGTAGGACTTCTTTCGCAAGCGTCTTAGTGTATGGGAGAGAATCGCGATCAGCAAAAGTGGGGAGGCAATCGGAACCAACAACCACGTCTATTCCAGCCTGGGCCGTCTTCTGCGCATCAGGGAAGAATGTCATAGCTAGGGAAAAATAATAGACTGTAGAAACAGTCTGAGACAGGTGCCAGTTTCAAATATGATAGGCCAACCATGTCAGCACCACCAGTGTATATGGATGCAGCAGACCACATCACCATATCATTCTCTCCGTCTCGTTGCTAGTCTAGCAAGCGAAACAACCGCGCAGGTGGGGGTGACACCCCCCTTCCCATAGCGTCCCTAGTTGAGGTGCTGTGATGTAGCGCGCACAAGGAGTCTGTCACGGTGAGCCTATCGGATGCGTCGGCCATTGACGGAAGAGCTGAAGAGCTCGAGTTTGCTCCTCATTGTTGCTATTGGAGGTGTCAGAAAAGTGCCAGTTGAATGAGTCATCAGGTAGCTCGTGAGTACCATTATAATTTCATATCAAGATGAAACAGAAAGATATGTAGAATATCATATATGACAGATAGATGATGAGAAAATCATCTTCGTGCCCTTAGTAGTTAGCATCCTGCTGAACGAGCGCAATGGTTTTTGTAGAACGAGGCTTAATAGAGCACTTGAACGGCCGGGAGTGGCTAGGGGTGCGTTTATCAAGACCAGCACCGTGGATGCGATAAGATGCACGACATACCTGATCGTGCCTGATGTATGGTCAACTTCAGGGGTGATCTCAACACCCTTCTCAACGACCTTGGAGATATCAAACACTGCGAGTGACATTGCGGTGGATATCCAGACGGAAGCATCAGCGAGGTGGAGACCTGTGCATGAAAGCAAACAACATTAAAATGCTATATGTTGAGCATGATTTAGGCGTACTGGGGCAGATACTGCAGAGCAGAAGGTTAGCATTGCACTTAAAATCAATTCCATTCTTACCGTCTGCCAAAACCAAAGCAGATAGTGCGAGGTTCGAGTTCAGGATCTTTTCCGTTATTGTCCAAGAAGCGTTCAGGGTTGAATTGCGAGGGGTTAGCATATGTCTGTGGATCATTGAGCATGAACCTGTCTTTCAATTTGGTTGATATGTCGAATACGGAAAAATATCAGTACTAACCGAATGTTAGGTATTACCAAGGAACCTTTTGGGATGTGGTACCCGTCGTGGATATCGTCCTCAGTGACGCAATGGGGGACAGCTGTCAATCGTGTGATCGATATCGCTCAGCAACTAAAGGGTGCGATAAACGAGATCCACATACCAGTAGGACCGACAACACTCCAATGGAAGACTTCCTTCACAAGCGCCTCAGTATAAGGGAGGGAGTCACGATCTGCGAAGGAGGGAAGACGATCAGGACCAACAACAGCGTCTATTTCAGCCTGGGCCTTCTTCTGCACATCAGGGAACAGTGTCATAGCAAGAAAAAACGAGTAGATTGTAGAAACTATCTGTGGAGACAGGTATGAGTTTCAAAACATGGTGATATAAAGGGGGGAACCAACCGTGTCGGAACCAGCAGCGTATAGGGTTGCAGCAGACCACTTCACCATGACATCCTCTTCCGCAGATAAAGTATGGCCTTCCAACAGATTTGAGGTGAAAGACGTCAGGGCGATGCCAGCAGCCTGTGAAACGTTTAATTGATGATTGTAAAACTATAACAGTTTATTACCATCTGATCCTTAACGAACTTGTAGGGTATGGCAGCCATATCCTCGCGAGTCTTGGACCATTCACGGGCTAAGCATTTGAAGCCAGCACCAGGGAACCACCCGGGGACGTTGGCCACTGGAAATAATCAGACCAATTACAAGCAAAGTTCAAATTCTCATAGTCTTACAGAATGGCATGATGTCAACCATGAAGGCGCCAGGAGCAGTGGCCCGCGAGAATTGGTCCACAGCGCAGTCCGCAAGGTCGATAAATGGATCGTTGTTCTCCTGTACCTCATAACCGTGAGAGATTCGCAGAATGATAGCGCCAGCTGTGCTATAAGAATTCAAAGTTCCATTCATGCAAGGGTAAATCATACAACATACTGTCGAACATGGGCTTGAAGTTGTTCTGGGTTCGAAAACACACGCTTCAGGAATCGGCGAGTCTCAATCTCCTCGATCGGGTGATGGACTTCCAAGGTGGCGCGATTGCCCATGATTTGGTGTATGTTCTTGCGCTGCTGGCGGCAGCGGTCACCATACGGAAGAAGAGCCAGACTGGGCTTCCAGCCAACAAGTTCTCCAGCCATAGGCAGAACAGGACGGTCAGAGTACACCGCGCCTTTCTTGTCTAACATGTCCACCGCACTCTTAACTCAATTTAGCACAATGATGTGCTGACCCAGGACCTCAACATGCGAAATAGGACCTAGAAAGCATAGGATTTGAATGTATTATTTTGGAACAACAGGAGACACTCACCATACTTCTTGCCCCACTCCGCAAAGGTGAGCCAAGGTTTGATTTGAGGCCATATCTCGGATGTTCCCAACGAGAGGTCACCCACGGGGGCCGGGGGGATATGATGCAGGATTCTTGTTCAACACCTGCTTGATGACCAAGTCTGCTCCAATACCGGCAAGACATAGGTCCAGCCAAGTGACGTTGGGTATCAACATGACCCAGTAGAAGAGAATGAATAAGTAAAGAACGAGGTTGAGTAATAAGAGACCAGATAAGTGCGCCAGTGCTGCGATACCGCCCCTGCCATCCCTGCGACAGTGATGCGCCACACCATGCTGCGATAGTATACTTCAGGTTGCTGCGAAAATGACAAAATAGTCGGATTGGGATACAGTGGGGTTGGCAATCTCATAGCACTACTAGTAGTACCAGTGGCCGCCGTTATGAAATCGCTTGCATGCATACATCGCTATATAGTCCAGGGGGACGAGTGCTCGATCGTCAGTCCCTAGAGACGTGTTTTTGTTTACGTAAATTAGATGCAAGGTTCTAAGATTAGGCACTTGAAGGCCCTTCGAATATGGGAGGACAAAAATAAATGACTTTGAAAATGTACTACGGATTTCACCCCTGCTCACTTGTGTCGTCCAATGGAGCATCAACGCTAAATGTCTCAGAACGTTATATCAAAGTCCACTGCGTCCTTGAATTCGAGTTCCACCTTCGGCACTCCCATCTCTGCATCGGCGCCTCTCCGACCTTCCTCTCTGCGCAGATTGTCCACGTTGACCCTCGCGAGCTCCTGTGACATGCATGTGGACCCGGAAGGTGATGGCGAGACTCTGTTCAAGACTGCCGAATTTCACCGTAATGGAAGGTATCCTGACGCAGCTATCGGTCAAGAAAGTCCCCACGCAGCCTGCTACTCCAAGGACACCGTCAACAAAGGACGTTAAAACACACTATTCAAAAACAAAACTTAAAATTCCCGCTCCATCCGCAATCTCCCCGTCAAAGACGTCAAGCAGTCTAAATTCCACAAGGGATACATGCCTTCTATCCGTTTCTTCTGACGAAGAGGACAAAGCACGTTCTCAACGTGCGAAGAAGCCTTGTACGATGGAACCTTTGTGGTCGTTAATCGCGTCCTCAGATGCACATGCACGACAGACCCTGCCAGTTTTGGCATCAACGCAAATTATTACATTACATCATCTGTGCACAAGGATCAGGCTAGGAAACGTGAGTCGAGGCAGAGCGCTTTTTTACTGCCCAAGGCTTCCCCTAGCTCGTTGGATAACGACGATCGATTTTCAACAGCAAGTGTAGAGACTGCTGCAACAACCGTCTCGCTTTCTACACCTGCCCTGCCCGTGATCGTGCCGAAGGCGAAACCCTTGATGATTGGTCCTGAACTCCCTTGTCCACAGGTGCCTCCATCGCCTCCGTTACGTATCCCACTATCTTGCGTCTCCCGTGACCACATCCCCGAGTATGCCTTCCATGTCACCGAGTACACCTGCCACGCCTCTGCTCGCTACCCAGACGTGTCCATGCACGCTTTGCCATTCTGTGTGTGGGATCTCGGTTGAGGGCTCCGAGTCCTGTTTCGTCCGGTGAGAGTGGGATGGTTCGCTTGGGAGTGAGTCTCAGCTTACTTGATTTTACTTTCGATGGTTTGGTACAGTCCGCGAGTTGACAAGACACAGATATCTCATGGATAAAATCGTCTTCGCAATCAAATATGTTCCGAATAATCACCCAATGAGAGGGAAAGAATGGCGGCATGCTACTGGTTTATACATTTCCAGTTGGCTTGATCTCTAATCCAAATGACTCCGCATTGCATGGTTGGGCTTTCGAATACGGAAAAACCAGATGATGGGAGGCCAACTAAGACATTAGGCGAGATCAATTTCAATCGAGGAGCGCACCTTTCGAACTTCCTCGTACTGTGAGTGGAACGGATATACTCCATGCGGGCTTCTGTCGTTCGTTTCCTCATTCGAGTTTTGAAATTTGACGCTTTCCCCGGCCGTTGTTGAGCGATAGTCATCGCTTCCTTATATCTGTAATATGAAAATCAGGTGGGTGAAATTGAAGGGTTCGTTTTGAGAGGGTCAAATGGGGCAGCGGAGTGAGGGTTGAGTGGGCGGGTGAGGATTAGTCCGACTCTGGCGGTTTCTGCACGGCGTGAAGAAGGCTTGAAAGATGCTTTTGAATGGTGCGATATCGATCTATCTTCAAAGTAGAGCACACTTCATTCTCATCCAGTTCATCAGCTGGGCATACATTTTCCAGGAATGTTATACAAGGCTTCTCCTTCCACGTATACAACTTTCGAGATGGTACTGTCACCCTCATTGGCGGGGAATCGGAAGGCTGGTTGAAGCCCGCCCGCTATTTAAGGGATTGATTTTCGAAACACGTGACTTGATGCGTTAAATTTTGCATCGCCACCGCGGAGGGGTATAAATATGGGATGACCTGTGATGCGATGCCCATTATCTTTCCTCGTTTTACGCGTACATCCATTTCTCAGCGATTACCATCTGCCAACATGATTTTCACTTCTAACGTCCTCCACGGTGTCGCCCATGTCACTATCACCGGCTGCCTCGCCGCTACCTTCTTCAAGCAAACCGTCTTCGACGCTACACGTCAGGAACTCTACAACGCGGGCGACCGCCCTTCCGTCGGCGCCGCGGTTACAAAGTTCTGCCTCAAGACGGCCTGCCTGGTTATTGCCTCACACAGAACCACTAAGAAGATACTCGGTGGCGATTTTACCCTCAAGGACAACCCACCACCTCTCGCTGGCGACATCTATACACCCGCTCCGTCAAGAACCCAGAGGCACAAGCGCTTTTCCATAGACTCGGACACGACTCTTGTGGCCGACGATGACGATTATCTCAAGGACTTTGACGCCCCCCCATCCCACTACCTTCCGCTTCTTGCAACCCCCGACTTATCCATACCAACAGTGCCTTTTTTCTTCAACACTAATCTACAGTCTATCACCATTCTGCCAAAGCCTCCGGATGCCGTGCACATCGCCAACCGGCGCAAACGACAGGTATGACATCTTCACTGAATTAGCTACGATGCTCATCTTACTTTCTTAGCATTCTGCTCGTTTGCGCGCCGCCCGCACACGGGCTTCCATTCGTGAGCAATTTCTCATGACATCCGCGTCGCTTACTCATTTCAACCAGGTCATCTCCAGCAACTCCGTGACAAGATCCTCGCCGACAAAGCGGCTCTCATCGATGGCTGGGCCGACGCTATGGCCAACCTCGGCCTCACATCCACCCTGGCACCTCCAGACTAGAACGGTACAAACTAATCCACAACACTACTCACATCCCGCCAAAGACGCGTACCCGCCTCCCTCGCTGTCCCCTACGACCTGGAGCAATCCACGAGGTTGAAGGCCACCGCTGACCGCGCACACTCTATCTCTACGCGCCACCCAGCATCTCCGCCGTCTTCGACATCAGAGGTCCCCTACGACCGACCAACAACCTATCGGTCTCCTTCTGTCCCCTACGACCAGGAGCTTCACCGCCCAAGAAGTTGAGGCCACCGCCCACCGCTCGCGGCCCCAAATCCACATTCTAACCTTAGTCTACTCTGTTTCCCTCACCATGTAACGGTCTCTTGGTTTGTCTCTTCCTCTGCCTTTATATCAGTATGTACTTGACTGCGTGTTTCTTTTGGATTTATCTCTCTCATCTACTTTACCATTTATCTCATTGCCAATGTTTCTTATATATTCGTGCATGTACGAAGACGAGTATCATATTGACGCCTGTAGTTTCTGAATCTAATCTGTTCTTCGAACGTACTTGAGTTTGATTGTGCGAACTGAGTGCAACTTGTGAATTTTCGACGTAAGTAATGAGCTGAGCCCGCGGATGTTTTATATTGTTCAGAACGCGTCTTGAGCATCACTAAAATCTTAATCTTTCCTTAACATAACGCGTCTCTCACCCCCTAATAGTCTTCTCTGACGCCAAACTTCCTTTTGAATCTCATCAATGTCAGACAAGCGAAGAGCAGAGATCGAAGCTAAACGTGCCAAACTCGCAGAACTTCGGAAAGCCAGAGCAGACCGACAACGAGCAGAAACTGAGCGACGGCAGACAGAAGTTCGTCCACCCTCTCTTCACTATTACCAACTTAAGCCCATCCTGTCTTCTCTAGCCTGGTCCATCTAGCGTAGCCCGCCGCGACGTCGATGACCTCGTCAACCAACTCGTTGGGAGCCGCAGTGGTTTAGACACAGGTGGAGACATCACGCCCTCCTCATCCCTACCCAACACCCCACCTCGACCATCTACAAATCTCCTCCATGGCTCGGCGCTCTCACCGTCTGGGAGGGTGAGCAGGCAGAGCGATGTTGGAAGCGATAGAGATAGAGTGAGTATGGGTACGACTATGGTGGGGATGATGGAGCATGTTGATAGGTATGTGGTCTTTGATGCTGGCGGTGCTGGTGCTGGTGCTGGTGCTAATACTGATGTTGCATTTGAAGGGTGTTGACGCCGAGGTTCATACCGGATCTTATTGACGTCGAGCAGGAGCTGTTCGAGCTTCCACAACGCGTAAGTACCTCAATCCCATCCCCTCTCCCTCTGCTGAAACATGAACCCTCACTCATACTCAGGAACGCGTGATCTACAATAAAGAAGTGCAAACGACAGCCATCGAAACTGAAACGCCCCAAGTATCAGAAGATGAGATCAGACAACAGATCATGCGCGAACGGGAGTTGGAGGCGGAGAGGATTGCGCAGGATAAGGAGCTTGAGGAGGAGAGTGTGCAGCTTGAGAAGGAGATTGAGCAGGAGATTCGGGGTGTGTTTCCTTTCCTTTCCTTTCCTCTCCTCTCCTTCACTTCACTTCACTTCACTCTGATACTTCGCAACTGAGACGGTTGCAACTTTAGAGCTTACGGAAGAGGAACGCTCGCATATACTCAGTGCACCTGAATTCCTGGACTTTGTGGAACAATCGTCAAAGATCGTACAGCGCGCGTTGAACGATGGGTATGATTATATCCGTGATTATACTATAGGCACAGAGGCGAATGGGTATATTTCCTTTTATTTCGTGGACGTGCTGTCAGTATGTTAATACTTATTTCAGGGACGACTCTGAAGGAAAGCGCGTCAAGCGTATTTGTGCGTTCTATGATGAACGCTACGGGAAGAATCGGTCGATTACAGATGTCGATTGGTCGCCCAAGGTCTCGGATGTTGTTCAAGTATGATAATTCTTACTGACTGTTTGATACAGTACCCGGAGTTGAGCGTAGCGTCGTATAACAAGAACCCCGCCGCGTTGAACGAGCCAGATGGAATTGTTGCAGTATGGAATCTCCACCTACTCGACAGACCCGAGTTCGTGTTCCACTCCCAGGTCGGTGAGCATCCCTACAAGTCATGTGTTTTGTCTGACTGAGGAGTATCTTGTCAAGTCTGATGTCCTCTCCGTCACATTCTCCCCGTTCCACTCGAACTTGGTGTTTGGTGGCACGTACTCGGGACAGATTCTACTGTGGGATACGCGGTCGAAACATCTACCTGTGCTCAAGACGCCCCTTTCGGCTGCTGGACATACACACCCTGTATATGCGATGCAAATGGTCGGCACTCAGAACGCGCATAACTTGATTACTAGCAGCACAGATGGCACTGTGTGTAGTTGGCTCGTTGACATGCTTGCTCAACCACAAGTAAGCATGTTTCCACCAAAATATTTAATATGAATTGACGCCTGACACGCGAATTTGTCCTCAGGAAACTCTAGAGCTTATTCACGCAGGCCACAATAAAACAGGTGAAGTAGCCATCACGACGCTCGACTTCCCGGACAATGAAACGACCACGTTTTGGGTCGGGACCGAAGAAGGCAATGTCTATCAAGCCAATCGGTACGACCGCGCAGGTGCGAAAGCTGGACTAAATCAGTATGATATCTACAAAGGACACGCGGGGCCTGTCATGGGGCTACATTTCCATCCACTTGTGGGACCTGTAGACTTTTCCGATCTGTTTTTGACGACGAGTGTGGATTGGACTGTGAAGCTTTGGCGTGCAACGTCACTTGCGAAACCGTCGACTGGCGCGCATGCTATTTCCCCTATCTACTCCTTCGACGAAGCGGATGATTATGTGTATGATGTGAAATGGCATCCTGCGCATCCTTCTCTGTTTGGGACGGTTGATGGTTCTGGGAGATTTGATGTTTGGAATCTGAATACGGATACGGAGGTGAGATCTAGATTGGGCGAATTTTGATGCCGTGCACGGGACTCCGTTTTTGTTTCTGACTTGCACTTCCATTCCAGGTACCAGTCGTCTCCACGAACGTCGGGTCTGGTCGAGCTATCAACAAGTTACAATGGGACAGAAAAGACGGACGGCGAGCCGCGCTCGGAGGGAGCGACGGCAAGTTGTATGTCTACGATATCGGTGATATGGCACTTCCACGTGAATCTGAGTGGACGGATCTCCAGAAGACGATTACGGGTTTTGTTGGGGGTGGGCAGGCGAACGGAGTGGCAGACGGGATCGTTGCTGGGCGGTGATCTTCCGTGATTTTTCCGTGGTATTATCATGAGACTTGCCTCGAGTGTCGTAAGTGGTGTGTTCTGTTTTGCCCAGATTAATCTTCTGTATGATGCTTGTGTTTTTCACATAATTGTCTTCACATATGGGGACTTTGATTTAAATTCAATGATGATGTTTTGATACCCGTGCGCGATAACCACGCTTAGCGTGGCACTGGTATTGGCTCAGGACGGAATTAGAGTGGGTTACACGGAAGTGAGGACAGAAATATGGAGACGGGATCTTTATTTGGGAATCTTAATCATTAGTGGAACAGGCGATTCCGCCCATCCCGAAGGTGCTAATACATAGCAGCGTGTTTTGCTGTGTTATGTTTTCCCAATGAGTCTAAGTACCCTCCGCAGCGCCTCCATCAAGTCCTCTTCATCCATCTCCTACCTACTTCCCGTATATTCAGCTATCCGTTGACAAGTCCTGCTCGAAAGATGTCTACAGAGTGTAAATTTGTACAGGTGCGCGCCGTTGTCGTTCGGGTCTTAGGGATTGAACGCTCAACTTAACTTGAAGGCACCACACAAGTGAGTTATGATCAGGTCGTTGTGTGAGTCGTCCGAGACTGAGAGATCGCGTCTGTCATTTGCAGACTTTTGGTGTACGTCTCGTGTTTTTCCTCGCTATGATCTCATTCCGAGTTTTGCGTTCTTAGCATCCCAGGACCGATTGAGGTCACGGATGAGGTGCGTTACCTGTAGACTCCGAGTCGTTTCGTTTCGTGACGCCGACTCGGATGTTTATAGGTCCTCTTCGCCAATGCGCATCCCTCGATGTCGCACATGTCCCCCGACTTTGCACTAGTCTTTGGTGATTGCATTCGCATGACTAGGCAAGGACACAGACGGTACACCCAAACGATAAAACTCACGCAAACTTGTCAGACAACTTCTTTACTCAAAGGACGCGCAGCCGTTCCTGATCGCTGGGTCAGGCACGTTAGGATGGGATCAGGTATGTAGTATCGTGTCAATTTCAGGGGTGCACACGTGTTTATGCGTTAGTAGGTCTCCGCTAATCTCGTAGAACCAGGCGAGAACGCGCTCGTTCTCCACAGTGGTTATTTTGCCGATAGTTTTGCAGACTGGTAGGGATTGCAAGCATGGGGTAAGTGTCGTAATGGGTCGCTCATGCTTTGTGGTTCTACAGTTTGCAGACCTATGGCGCCAATGTAGACCAGATCAAGGCTGAGATAGGCGGCGCTGTCAAGGAGGCTGATATTGAGCGCGCACTTCAAGCGAAGAGGTATAAGATTGTTACAGTGACCCACGTTGACACCTCGACAGGTTAGTGATACTTTTTTGGGGGTGCCTGAGAGGTTCCTAGATGTCGGACTGATCTATCTTGGGTAGCCGTCTTGTCTGACATCAAAGCAATTGCAAATGTCGTCAAGAGAGTTTCTCCGGACACACTTGTAATTCCTCCGAGGACTCCTTAATTCACGTGTGCTCATTATGGATGGCTACTAGGTTGTCGTTGATGCTGTCTGCTCTGTGGCGAGCGAAGAAATCCAAATGGATGCCTGGGGCATTGATGTCGTGTTGACAGCCAGCCAGAAAGGTCTAGGCACACCACCAGGTCTCAGTATCGTCGTTGCTTCTCAGAAAGCCATTCAGGTTCGCCTTTTCCCAATACCATGACGTGCAGCTACTGATGCAAACACCTCAAGGTATTCGAGAACCGCTCAACGCCAGTCACAACCTACTACGGCAGCTGGAAGAAGTGCGTACAGTTTATGTTTATGTTTCTATCCCACAATACAAATTCTAACTCCCAAATAGATGGCTACCCATAATGAAAGCCTACGGGAACAACTCCGCCGCCTACTTCGCCACGCCGCCCGTCAACCTCATCTATGCGTTCCACGCGTCCCTCACGCAGATAATGAAGGGCTCTGTCTCGCTCGAGCAACGATTCAAGTTCCACCAAGACGTCAGCAGACGTATCAAGAAGGCAGCAGAGGAAGTCGGGTTCAAGGGCGTGCCTCTTAGTGAAGACGTCCAGGCCAATGGCATGTCTGCGGTGCGTACAAGTATTTGATTGGAGAGCAACTGAGGTTGATAACCGCATATAGCTTTACTTCCCTGACGGTTTCACGGCGAGCGATATCGTTCCTCGTCTGTTGAAGAAAGACGTCGTTGTCGCCGGTGGATTACATGCCAGTATCAAAGGTCAGTAAAAGTTCCCTGCGAGGAGTCGTTTTTACTGAATATCATCCTGCCTCAAAAGACAAATACTTCCGTATAGGGTGCGTTGTGTTCTGCCCGTAAAATACCTCGAGGTAGTGTGACTGACACACTCTCTTAGGCACATGGGTGTTTCCGTCGTTGACCCTAGTCGGGGGGACGTTGACAAGATAATCAGCGCCGTGAAGGAGTCACTCGCAGAAGCCAAGGCTAGCAAGCAGTAGGAACTAGAGTGAAATGATTTTATATGGCATGTACGATACAATGAATAAAGTACATCTCGATTTTACACGTCATTCACAACCAGTGAGTTGTAAGGTGACTTGATACCCAAAAGATATATTCATAGATGTGGCAAATGCAAAAAGTTGAGGTCCTCATGCAGCGGCTGCAGCCTCGCGGTACTGTCCTTCTCCGCCCATGTTGTCGTACCACTCTTTCCCGGATGTCGTAGGGGCAATATATCCCGCCCTGATGACAAAGTCACCAAAATGCTCGCCCTCGATTCGCTCGAGCGCATATCGCTTGATCATAGGTTTAAGGATGGCGAGAATCTCGGGTTCCGATACCGTTTCCCGGTAAATCTTGTTCAGCCGCTGGCCGTAGTATCCACCACCAAGAAGCATGGAATAAGATCCAGGTGCTTTACCTACGAAGGCAACTTCTGTGGAGATGTTGAGCGAAGATTTCAGAAAGGAAGCGGAAGTGTCTCACCTGCGACATATGGTCGTGCACAGCCGTTGGGGCAACCGGTCATCCGCATGACAATGGAATCGTTGCGAAGCCCATTCTCCTCACAGATTTTTTCGACCTTGTCAATGAGTACTGGTAGATACTAGAAGACGTCACGATGAGATCAAAAGGAGTTTTATAAAGTCACTACTCACGCGCTCAGACTCAGCCATTGCGAGACCTGAATGTATTCTCATGTCAGAAACGATAGTTCGTAAGTGCGAAACTACTTACCGCACGTTGGGAAGGCCACACAAGCCGACGACGACAGCCGCAAACCAGTGTAGTTCAAGTTGTCCAACTTGTACTTGGCAAGTATTCTCTTGATCTCGGGTACATCTTCGGTAGAGATTTCGGAGATCATAATATGCTGGTTCGCGGTCAGACGGAACGTGCCCTTGTGTATCTTGGCAATCTCGCGAAGACCAGTTTTAAAATCGCGTTCGGGCTCGTCCTGAATGCGCCCATTCTCGATGAAGAGCATCACATGATGTCTGCCATCGTCTCCTGTTGACCAGCCAAAGTCGTCGATGTTGCGGTCAAACGTGTATGGTCGTGCTGGGGCCAATGGATAACCGAGTCGGCTCTCGACCTCTGCTTTGAATACATCTAGTCCCATCCGATCAATGGTGTATTTCAATCGAGCGTTTTTGCGACTGAAAACTAATCAGAACGCAGAAGTGTAGAACGCTTAAAAGACTCACTCTGCACGATTCCCATTGTCTCGCTGTGTAAGCATGACCTTTTCTGCTACGATAGGACCTTGTTCGATAGTACAGAAACCGATAACGTCCGCAACTCGAGGGTATGTTTTCTTGTTACCATGGGCTACTCCCATGCCACCACCGATAGTAACATTGAAGCCAGCCAAATCTCCTTGCTCATTGACAATGGCGATGAAGCCCAAGTCATTTGCAAAGATATCAACGTCATTAGTAGGTGGTACCGCAACCGCAATTTTGAACTGTCGTAACATCAGGATCGGTTCGAAACGAGTGAGACACCAAGTATACCTTTCGAGGGAGATAGAACTCGCCGTAGAGTGGCTCAAAGTCCTTGACCGCCTCACCGGCAACCATTTTCTTGTCCAACCAAATCTCGTGGTATGCCGTTGTTCTAGGCAATAAGTGAGCGCTGACAAGCTTCGAGAAGTTGTAAACCTGCGCATGAAGCCGGGACGAAGAAGGAATAGCGGAACAGATAACATTCCTAAGGTGAACGATCAGCAGGAAACATCAGCACAAGCCGCAGAACTCACCGATTGACGTCGCCACACGCAGCCAAAGTGTCCAACAAGACCTTGTTGATCTCCTGAATGGAGGGCTTCAAGTGTCGCTTGATGACACCATGGAACTGGAATGTCGCTCTTGTGGTGATCTTAAACGTCCCATTGCCATGTTCATCAGCGATCCGGTCCATCTGTAACCACTGCTCAGACGTGCACACACCACCGGGGGTACGAACGCGAATCATGAAGCTGTAGGCAGGCTCGACGCCTTGAGCTTGACGCTCGTCACGGATGTCGCGATCATCTTGCTGGTAGATACCGTGGAACTTCGTAAGCTGGGTGTCACTGGGGTCGAGAGCGCCCGTGCTATTATCCTCGAGACCTTCAGCAATCGTGCCGCGAAGGTAACCTGAGGCCGCCTTGATATGCTCATTAGTGATTGGGTCGGGTTCTGCTTCTTTCACTTCAATGTTGTCGACGCCAAACGTTTTCCACACGAGGGGCTCCCACACTTTGTACCCAGTATCTGGTCCATCTGCATCCTGATCATCACCGAGCCCAATATCCGCAAAGCGCTCTCCCCCCAGCTGCTCCAAACGAGTATCGAGGTCCTTGCCCGGCTTGTTGTAGTAGTGAGCATCTTCTGCGCGTGGCCAGTAGTGGCTGTCACCGAGGGCGAAGACTGAGTATCGAAGCTTCGAGAAAGGCTTCTCTCCACGAAGAGCAGCAGCGTTAAGCGCCTTAAATAAAGTCCGTCCGTTCTGCGGGGGCTCACCCTGACCTGCCACAGATGTGACAAAAGCCACGTACTCCTCTTGAGAGAGGGTATCGATGGACATAGAGTCGATGGTGCCAATGGACGTCGACAAGCCTCTGGCTTTACCGCGGTTGGCCAGTCGCTTCGCAAACTTCTCTGCGGTGCCACCATCCGATGCATACAGCACTACCAACGGTGGTGCATCAAGCGAGACAACCAAATCATCGTAAGCCTGTTGTGCCTTCCTCCTCCTTGCCTCTTTCACATTCTCACCCAAGCTGCTCACCAGTTCTGTGGCAAGCTCGGGCTTGGAGCGTACGAGTTGGGACAGATGGTTCTGCCTGTCGAGGAATTGCTGGAGGTCGTTCTTCACAGCGTCTGAGTCGAGCGCGAATGGCTCTTTGCCTTGTGCTTCCTTCACAGGGTCCCAACGGTAAAGCGGCCAGTACCCAGCGTCGACAGCGAGTTTGGTCTCCTTCAAAACTTCAAGTGCTGGTGCATCCTCATTTTGGTAGGGTAAGTATGCGAGCACTACACTGGGGCCGTTGTGCCTGTCCGCCTCCAGTGACTGCTTGCAGCACTTGAGCATACGATGAATACACTGCGACGCTCGCTACATAGATATCCCCGTGGTTCATTGCGTACAGACCAGCGTCTTGCTTACGGCGATGTGGATCAGCGGAGTTGCGGGATGTGTAAGGAAGGGTGTCGATGATGAGAATGTTGATGTTGAGACCGGATGCGATGGCGTGGTGCAGACCAGAAGCGCCAAGATCGTAGGACCAGGCGTCCGAGCCAATGATCCATCTCGAGCGTGTGGGGAAGTGTGCACGGAGAGCAAGAATGCGGTCGATAATAGGACTCGAGGACTTTGAAGACTCGAGAGCGGTGATGAGGTCATTTCCCACTGAGCGACTCTTGGTATCGTCGTCCTTAACAAGGACCCACTGACTACAAAGTTTATGCAGCTCGGGGCTGACTTCCTTAACCTCCAATAACTTTTGCACAGAGCGAATAAGTTCATTTCGTTGATCGAGTTGTCCTCGAACGCGGCCCAGTGCAAACTCCGGGCTGGTGGCAATAGCACCTTGTTTAAGCACCAAGGCAGGCGAATTGGAAACTTCGAGGCGTTCGCCAAAGACGTGAGACAAGATCTTCGTATAAGACGACTCGTGCTTGGGTATATGTGGCACTTCTGGCGAAAGAAGTGAGGAGGCGCTGGCGCTTCCAAGTTGAATTGGAGCAGAAGAGGGAGCTGCTTGAAGAAGTTTCAAAATTGCGAGGGGGATTACTTGGGCAGGGTCACTGAAGTAAACGCTCTGGATGTGGGGTCGCTGCTCTACTTCCCGCTGGTGGATTGCATCGACAAGTTCAAGGTACAAAGGTGTCCATTTCGTGTTCCAGCGGTGGAGCTGCTCGAGAATGATGATACGTGACGCAGATGGTGGAATGACATCGAGTATACGGGAAGGGAGTAGGGGAGTGAGCAGGCTGAGTGAGACAACCGACACTCCGTCAATATCCACAGGAGGGATGTCACCCAGCCCAAAGATGACAGTGTGGGGTTCGCTGGAACCATGTACAGAGAGCGGAGGGCATGCACGACGAATACGAACGACCGTAGAAAGCGCTGCGCGCTCGTAAAGCTTGAAAAGCTCTAAGCTAGGGGATACTACGGTTGCTGAATGACCATTGTGCCCGTTCGCTCCATTGTGTCCATTCACTCCATTGGTTGACGCAAGCTTCTCCGAGAGAAGGAAAGGCTGCACCTCACTCTCCGATATTTCCTCTACTGAATCATTTTTTGCGTCATAAAAGGCATGCACGACTGCTTTCTTCTCCGTCCGTGCCAACCGAGATGCCAAGAGTGAGTTATCGTGTGCTTGTTGGGGGGTTCTAGAGATGAGGAAGAAAGGGACAGCGGAATGGAGCAGAAGGACGTCGGACAAATCATTTTTCACGGCAAGATGCAAGACAAGAGGAAATGAAGAAAGTTCAGCGGCGTCCAGGACAAGCCTGATTACAGTTTGTGCTGCTGCTGAAGAGGTAAATGAGATGAGTCCAGCAGCCGATCCGTTTCTGAGTAATGTTGACCCTGGATCACCGCCTAGGGGCACCGACAAGATTGTCGGACGTCGGCTGGAAGTTGCAGAAAGCGAACTATACTCTTTAGCGAACTGTGAGGTCGATGGAAGGGTAGGCTGGGAATCTACGATGATATCTGAGGCCAGATAAGCTACCCGGGCCACACTGGAGGTAGCGCTTGACATGATGACTTCGGTGAACGTCGGCTGTAACGCATTAGAAACTAAATCGATAGTAAGAAGAACGACAATTTACCTTGACCGCAAACAGAGTGGAAGGAGAAAACACTGAAGATGCGCTGAGACCATAGTGCTGGATTCAAATGGGTGACAGCAAAAGCACATCATCCACATGCCATTTGTTTGTCCGCATCCAACCGAATTCCGAATTCAAGTTTGCGTTGCATCACGATATTCATATCGCAATGCATCGTGACCTCCTTACAAAGACTACAAAGTAGTACTAGTGCCATGCTAAAATAGCAAAAATATCATTCAAACTATGTAAGATACAGGTATACAAGCATCGGAACGCTTCGCAATCTCACGAGAGTGGAACAGCGCGGCAGAACTCCTCGATAGAGTCACCAACGAGCAGCCATCTTTTCAAATTCAAGTCATAAGCTCTGGCTTGTTTTCCAGCTCATTCAAGTAGTGATGCGCCCTTCCAAGCATCCATATGGGGAATGAAAATTTGAAGTTCGGGTATGATATAGTGCAATTCTTGTTAAACACTCCTTCGATCGCCTCCTGCGGCCACGATCCATCCTGCGCCATGAATAAGCTTCTGAAGACCACCGTTATTTTATGCTAAACTCACGGGTAATTGCCTGTCCATGACCAACTTGACGGCCTTCCGAATAGGCTCGGGATCGGGATATTTCGCGTACATGAGTGCCATGGCCGCCCAACAGGTCTGTACGACCTGTGAGTTTTCGTGCTGTATCCAGGCACCCTGTTCGCAGGACTACGGAACAAATTGGAAACCCAGTCCCGGATGTAAATTTAAATGCACCCACCTTGTAACTTTCGCCCCAACCACCATCTTCTCTTTGCCACGCGAGAAGAAACCTACACGCCCGTTGTGCGTGAGAGCTGTTCGAGTAGTTCTCTCCAATTAGCGAAAGACTCTCAAGAGCAAACTGTGTTGCATATGTGAAACAGATTCCCCAGGAACCAACCCAGCCACCTTCGGGTTTTTGGGCATTGTGTAAGTACTTGATTGCACCTTTGATGGTTTTTCTGAAATAACGTTAGGGCGGTAAGTGGAACGATGCCTCATCGCTCACTCAATATCAGCAGACCGGTAGTCAGGATAATGTTTCCTAAAGATGGACATCGACGTAATCACGGAGGTTGTGCACTCTGGATAACAGAACTCGATCATGATGTCACCTACAGGTCGTCATTTGAATAGTGAAAGTTATGAGAATGAATGAATTACCGAAAACTTCTGCAGGGTTCAGCCATTCGAGCCACTTGGGACCCCTGACCAACTCATAACTGGCAAAACCGCCATTTGGGTTCTGCATAGTTAGCATGACGTCCACAGCATCAAAAAGTCGTTGGTCTGAGATGATTTTCTCCGAGCCTCTGTCAGAATGTTCAGTTGGCAGTTCAAACAGATCACAGTGATACTAACTCGACTTGGTTTTGCAAATATAAGACTGCCTTCAGCCCCTCGCCGGTACAATCACTGACCGTGTACCCCTGCTCTTTGGTGCTAAATGGCCAAGCACCCTTCGTGGTGTGACGGTAAGACGTCTCGTAGTGCTTTGGGTTCTCCCTGATCTGGCAAATATCCAACCACCCAAGCGCCTTCGACAAACTCTCCTTATTCACCTCCTCCTTCGCGAGGCCGGTCTCAACGAGCGCCTGCGTGATGAAGCCAATATCCCATAGTTGGCTCCCATTCGTCCCGCACATCATCATACCTTCCTGACCAAGCCACATAAAGTCTGCGCGTTTAATAGCGTGCTGCTTGTACGCTTCACTGCCGGGGCCTTCGACGTGAGCACGGCAGATGAGGTTCATCATTTTGGAGACGGGTCCAAGGGTCTGGTATTCGGTGTTCTCGTCCTCGAGAGTGATGAGGTGGTATGCACGTGCGAGAGCTGCCCTGCGGAGGGGAGGAATAGCGCAGCCCTCGTATATTGAAAGAACGGAGTTCATAACATCCAGGACAGTGGTATGAGGGGAATACAGGTCTGCTGCACACACGTTATTACGTTGCGAGGGCCAGTGGATTCGATGATAGTTAGTTGGGTATAGTTCCTGCAAGTCGGACTGTCAGCAGACAAAATGGAAGATTCAGCAATAGAATTCTTGCCTCTCGGAGCGCTAGAATCAAGTCATTTTCCTGCATTTTAAATCGGATGCCGTAGAGATAACTCATTGGCACATAGACAGTCCGAGTATGTATCCACCAGCGATGAGGATGGAAAGGCAGCCAGTCAGGAAGGAGCCTTTCAGAGAGTTGAGGCGTTAGTTCAGGTGCCAAATGAAAGTTTGCAGACGGACCAAAGCTCCGCAGGGACTGGATTCACGCCAGCCCAATCATACACGTTCAATACTGCGAGCCAGAACTTGCCCCAAGCAGGAGCACCAGTGGCTCCTCCTGTACTCGAAGAATTAGGCCACATACACCGACAAAGACGAAGGATGACCGCACCAAGTTTGTGCAATGTCTCACGAGCTCTTACAGCAGCCGGGTGGTTAGCCTGCACACCAAGAATCCGGAGAGCGGTGTAGTTTAACGCTGTCCCAAAAACGGTTGAGTGTCCTTCGATGTGTCTGTATAGATGATGAAATGGGTCGAATGGTAAATATCACGTTACAACTTACATTCCCCAACCTCCATCTTCTGGATTAACATGATTCAGAAGGTAGCGAATCATCTCCAGACGCTCCTCCTCCTTGAAGCCCATACCAGACACGTATGACCCAATGACAAGGCCGGGGAGAAGGAACATAGGGCCACCGTACTCGCCTGCCCAATGTCCATCATGAGATTGAAGGTGCTTATAGAATGTATACCCATTGCGGGCAGCATCCAGCGCATCCTTGGGCTTAGCAAGGTCGGGCAAGTTCTATTTGGCTGAGGCTTAAGCGCGTTGCAAGCCAAAATGAACAACACACTTACAAGTGGAATACCAATCCAGTACTTGTCTACATCATTCTGAGGCCACTTCTCGCATTCCCCGTCTGTTTGGAGGTAGTGCCATGTGTGCCTTCCGCCGTCATTTACGAGTAACCTCCAACGTCTGTAGTCAGTGAAGGGCTTGTTTCCAGACTCTGGGATGTCAAGCTGGGGCCACAGCGCAGAAAGTTGGGCTTCTGTTGGCATATACATCATGTCCGGAGAATGAGAGACAACTCGGCTGAGATCTGAAAAAATCTTCTGAATCTGTCGTATAATGTACACAGCCGAATAACTAGTATCCCGGATAGTAAAGTGTTATTACCATGATGTAAACAACGCGTCCACAACAAGACATCACATATTTCTAGTGTTCCACAATGGTCAGTTTCCGAGACTCGTCTGTCGTTATCATCGAGTCCAGCAGAACACTCATCAGAGCAGGCCTTGGCTTGCAAGATCTGCTCAAGGCGCCGTCTGTTGTTCGTATCATTCATTTTCGTGTCCGAGAATCCATATATGATCTATGCTACAGGAAATACAAGCTCGCGTCGGTCTGCGACGCAATCTAGGTGATAGTACAAATGGCGCATCCTCACTAAAGCCAGGCGAGAGCAGCGATAATCTGCGTCCCTCTGCATCCAGCAGTCGTGCATCGTCTTTGCCTTTTCAGCCTAGTCCCTCGGCGAAGGTTCACGACTATCTCGTCGGTTCACAACTAGACGAAGCCCTTGAAGCTGGTCAAGATATTATTGTCTCATGGCCATTTGCAGATGGTGATGTGCGTGATTGGACTCAAGCGGAGGCGCTCTGGTACGTCTCCAATTCTATTGTTGTGCCCTCACCTCACATAGTGGACCAAGGAAATATGTTCTGTTCCGTACACTTCAACTCAAGCGAACTCAGAACGAGTCTCCTGTTATGCTGTCCATGCCAGCAGGCCTCTTCAGGGATTCGTCAGAACGCATATGTCAAATCTTCTTTGAGCGCTTCAATGTCGCAGGCTTCGGTCTCCTTGACCGCCCTATGGCCCAGCTCTATGCCGCCGGACAGCTCAGCGGAGTCGTGGTTGATATCGGTCACGAAATCACTGACATCACTCCAATTTACGATGGATTCATCATACAAAACGCTCGCTCGTCTACACCTCTAGGCATCAGAGACTGTCAAGTTTACCTCGCCAACCTCCTTCGCTCCAACCAGTCAGTCATGGCAGCGGTATCACCTCCGGACAAACCGAGTGACGCGGAGGTTACTCAGAGATTCTTGGACGATCTGGTCAAGTACATTTGGATGGAAGGCCTTGTTCGTGTTCCATCAGATGGGCAAACGGTAGAGATACCAGAAGATGAAGGAGTCACGGATATAGCAGCAGTCCTCGTGGCTGGAAAGGAGAAGGCCGTCATCGAGACGGGGATGAAAAAAAAGTTGACCGCGAAGGCTTCTGCTGCAGAGCAAGCTCGCGCGAGGGAGATTGAGGCACTTGATCTTGTCACTGTGGAGTTCCGCGAACACTCTATCACTCTGGGCAAGGAGCGGCATCGATTTTGCGAGCCGCTCTATGATCCTACGCTACTGAACGGGCTGCCTGTCGAACGTGCAGATCCTTATGAAGGGAGAATATTGCCCTTGCAGGAGGCTGTTGCATTTTCCGTTCGCCAAACGGATGTCGCCCAAAGGCAATATATTTGGCAAGGTTTGTTTGTTAATGGTGACCTTACAAATCATGTCAAAGGTGCGTGACCATGTACAACTAGTGAAGTTAGAATTAATCGTGCAAAGGCATCGGAGCTGCATTGCAGTCGCGGTTAGCGCCTTTCATTCTTAGCACTCCAGACCAGGCAACTGAAGTGCAGCCGCGGTCGATCCGAGTGCTGACTGTGCCTGAATACTTTGCTGAATACCGGGAAAGAGGAGACGGCTTTGCGGCTTTCCTTGGCACTAGCATTGTTGCGAAGGTATGTAAATCGTTCCGTGGTCGCATTGAAGGTCTTTCTGTTGATGAGCTCTCTTAGATCGCGTTCAATGAATCGCACGGGAAAAACTTTGTATCGAAGACTGATTACAATGAGAAGGGGCCACACGCTGTTCTAGAGATGTCTCTAGCTTCGTTGTAACTACTTTTGCTATGTTTTCTGCAGTTCTGAGCGCGATGCAAAAAGTTGACCCCTTGAATGGGGGTGGCTCTATCGGAGTTGAACCCGTTTTGGCCAGAACTGTACAGTTCATCCACGATTCTGAAAGTTAGATTTTGTCATACCCAAAAGCCGCTCATCGTCATCAAGCTCCTCAAGACTCCCCGACACAAAATTTACCAATGGCCCCCTCCAAGAAGTCCAAGGCAACCAAGTCGTCCGAGTCTATCTCGTCTCGTCTTGCTCTTGTCGTCAAGTCGGGGAAGTACACCCTTGGTTACAAGTCTGCACTGAAGCAGATGCGCAGTGGTAAAGGTGAGCACTCTTTCGCACTCACGGGGACTGGAGCGTGAGGCTGAGAAGGTCCCTTGTGCTGACGATACATTTGTGTTTGTCCTCCTCGCATCCACGATCATTTAGCCAAGCTCGTTTTGATTGCTGGTAACTGCCCACCACTGCGTAAATCTGAGCTCGAATACTATGCCATGTTGTCGAAGACGACCGTGCACCACTTCTCTGGCACGAACGTCGCACTTGGCACCGCCGCCGGAAAGCTTTTCCGTGTCGGGTGAGTAGTCCCGTATATTTCGATTCGTCAATAAAGCTAAACGAATTCTCTCAGGGTCATGACTGTCACCGATCCTGGAGATTCCGATCTCCTCACCTTTGCAGAGGGAAGCGCTGCATAGGTCCAAAATTGCGGTGAGGTGCCGGGAGCATAGGTTTATGCGCTCTATTATAGCTATATTTCGTGCATCAACATGATAACCCTTATGTTTACTACCTGTCATTCATGCAATGTAAGGAAACTGCAAATCTTTGAGAGGATATATTATATTTTCTGGTCTGCAAATGCCGAGGGAACAGGTATCAGACAAGCAAGAATTGTACGTCGGTAGCTGGGCGCTGATGGAGAAGCTGTGAACAGTATTGCCAACTTCCACAAGCCCCAGGGTCCCCTGAACGAAAGATGTGTTCCATCTGGCAGTAGGCACACAGAAGTTAATGACACATAAGCCTTGAGAACCCGTGCACTGACTGATCGATTGGGAAAGACCGTCAGCAAGAAAGAAAGGTCGCATTGAACTGTCCGCCGCAGCATGAGTCAAGGGCAGTACAATACTACGATTATTTGCAGTGTATAATATAGTACCAGTAGCAGGATGGGGCAATGACGACAGTACACGACAACGATAACGAACAGTACATGATGCGACAACGACGACAGCCAATTCACAACCACAGCTCTCTGTCTCTCGCTGATACACTCGCAAGACTGAAACTATGCTTCTCCATTGACCACTCCATCTTTCGCAAGCTCTCCGAATTTCCGCTCGAAGATGGAAATACCGATGGTCGTAGGAACGAAATCATCATGGGGAGGTGGACGAGGCATGGATTGAGGATACGAGAGCCTTTGGCTCTCGTTCAATGACGACGGCTTCCTTCGCACGTGGAGGACAAGTTCCTTCGACTGGTGGGACGGAATCACTGGGCGGACCAGATCATCGAGTGGAATGATGTGGTTCGAATTTGAGTCATCCTCGTCTGGTGCGTCTAATCGTCTCCATCTTCGGGAGATTGGTTCTGCCGGCACGACTGGACCAAATGGTTTGTGAGGTGGCAGTGAGACGAGAGGAACAGTGAACTGCCAATTATGTAGTTCACGCTGCAACGGCAATGGTGGGGGATGAGTCATAATTCGTCGTGATGGTGGTGCAGTAGCAACGAGCCTGTCAAAGGCCCGAGTCACGCGCATATCGACGAGATCTTCATGATCAGTCTCGAAGTGAGACTTGAGTTGAGATGCTCGCGGAAAAACTTGCTCACAATCTGAAAAAGACAACGCTAAAAATGAAGTAGATTGCCATTTTCGGTGTGAGACATACCTCGAACTGGACAACTAATTGTGAAACGAGACAGATGGCTGAGGTCCACATGTGCTTTGAGTGCTTCCTTTGTTGCATGCACACGACCTGCACATCTCAGATATCGACATTGGTACTGTCCCTCCTGCAAGTACAGCAGATAAGCAAAATAAGGTAAGTTGTGAGTGAAAAAACTCACTATGTTGGATATGCGATCACAGTGTCTTAAGGTATGCTGTGTAATAGGGAGGCATATATTAGCACTGACCAGTAATGGAGGATGATGCAGATGAAATGGGTAAAGTAAGTGAATACTCACTCCAAGAGCACTTTAGAAAACCTTCAGCATGACCACTCAGCACTTTTGACTTGAGAGCAAAGTGTGACAGCTGAAGATTTGCTAAAGTACCCCTGGAGAGGAGTACAGCTCAATACACCACCATCAGAACATCTATGACTAGAGTCTATATCTACAGTAGATCAAGAGCTGATCTAAATTCACCTTTGTCAGATTATACCAACTGTTGAGAATAACTGTACACCCTTCCCACTCGCATGGCATAGGTTTTATTACTTGATGAGCAATACTAGGAATTTCGTGGGGGGAAAGGAGAAGATCTGAGGACCCAGCAACCTCAGACATCTAATAGAAGATTGGTGGTTGAAAAAGTTGAACAATGTGTTTTTCATGACAGAAATAAATACAGGTAAATACTCAAGACCACTTGGTCAGTAATTGTTCCAAGGATGACTAATGTCTTCACCATATCTCGTCACTTCATTGCTGACTAAATGAACATGTGGGTGTTGTTGACTCTAGACTGTGCCAAAACATGCCACATTGTCTGTGAAGTGTAACACAGTCATTCAAGCTTTCAAGAATCGAGATCATTGATCAATTCTCATCACAATCTAAATGAGCTAGGCTGGCAGACTCATCACTTGTGGGATCATTCTCGGCTGAACACAATTTCGAGTAATGATTATTCTTTGCAGGACATCTCTGGGCTTGGCAAATCCCAAAGTCTTAGAAGTCACATCTGTACTATCCCCTATGGTCTATTTGCGAGTGCCCACTATTTTGTGAGTCACACTTTTCGCAGAGATTTTCATGACTTACCATTACATCACGTGACAAACCATCACATTTTAAAAAGTGACTCACGAAATGATGGGCACTCACAAATAGACTATAGGGGATAGTATCCACACTAGAAATGAAGCACTGTGCCCCATGTAGGGATCTGCACAGGTATACCCTGGGGTGTTGGAGGTCTCACTCGCACCCACACCCCAACAAGGGGTACAGGTTTCATACCTCACCCAGACTCATTGGGGACCACCCATAGGTCAGTAGTCAAAAAAATGCATTATACTTTACGACACACACACAAGTAGTTACTGGTCAGTAACATCAATGCAGTCCCAGCCGTCCTCGAACTCTTCCTCCTCCCCGTTGGCATCAGGCATATTGCTAACCTTTATAACATCTTCGGTCTTCACAAGATTGAGGGTGCTCCAGGAGCCGAGGCCAAGTAGCGCGTGAGTCGATTGGGCTGAGAGATGTGAGCGGACATGGGAGAGTAAGAGATGTCCACGACCAAATAGCCGTTCGACGTCAACAGATGTAGCTGTTGGTAACCAGTTAGCTATTTATGATGCGGATTAAAGCTTACCAAGGATGGTCAAATAGTCGAGCACCATTCGTATACCCTCGTGCTCGAATCGCCAGTGCACTAATGATTGTCGGCGTGTCGTCTGCTAAGAAGTTCGAAAGACGAGGTCACACACAATCTGAGAGCAGGACACGGCCGCAGTACCACTAGCGTCGGGTAAGCAGGTCAGAGGACAAAGTTACGCACTCGCTGAAGAGCGGGACACGGCCGCAGCACCATCAGCGTCGAGCAAGCAGGTCAAAAGACGAGGTCACGCACCACTTGAAAGCAGGACACGGTCTGAGCACATCAGCGTCGCGGCCGCAGCACTATCAGTGTCAGGTAAGCAGGTCAGAATACGAGGTCACGCACCACCTGAGAGCAGGACACGGCTGCGGCACACAAGGTAGGTGAGCGTGGTAGCGTAGCGAAGCAGCATCAAAACGTACAATACACGCACCTCTACAGCTTAGAGAAAGATACCCACAATCCCCCTTGAAGACAGGTGTTGTGTTGAAGAAGATGGAGGGGAATGGCAGCGGGGTGTGGCACGAGTGCAGAGGATAGGGTGTGATGCGAGATGTACGAGGTTGAGAGATACTGTGGGTGTCAGGTTTGGTTTGAAAATGAGAAACATTTTTGAAACAAGACGACTCACAAAAAAACCGTGCTCTCCAAACTCTGATACTCCTAGTGCGCCGAGTGCGAGAAGAAAGGCGTTGACTCTGTGTCCGAGAACGAGGATGAGGTCGGATAGCGGCGCTGTGCGCGCAGATAAGTGCCTGGTATGTGAAAACACCTGTAAGTAATGTACATACATACATACATAGATGTTTAAAACGCACCTTTTGAGAGCAGCATTAGAGTCAGCAGCAATAAGATCTAAGAATATGAAGAAGCCAGTAGCACTTTGTACAACTGAGCGCTAAACAAATTACCATATCAGGAAGGCACGGGTATGCCAGGGGTACGGGTTAGCGCGGGGGTTTTAGAATCGCGACCCCTACCCGTACCCCAACCCGTGCGGATCCTTAACCCCACGGCAGAGTCAGCCAACAAAAGGCTACTCATACCTCAGCAGTGCAGTCACCAGAGTCTGTTGGCCAGGGCAGGGATCCTAGATGTGGCCCAAATACTACGAGTCATTCTCATTCATTTTATTTTTCATAGGTCATATAATTCTGTCCTATCAGGCTGATAAAATTAATTATCAACTACATCTACTGTCGTGCTCCGGTGAGAGTTTTCAACCGTGCTTCAGCCGCTCGGGCTCTTCGTTCCCGCTCCACCTTTGCTCTCAACTCAACAGTTAAACCAAGGACGCTATCGGCTGCGCCGGACGAACCTCCGAGCTTTCGGGGAGCCGTAGGGTCTTGAGAGCGAGACTCTGACTTTGTCCCCACCTGTTCATTATCCATGTCAAACTGTTTACCTTCCCGCTCTCTCTCTCTGGCTTCCCGTTCCCGCATTTTCTCTTTCAGGCCTTTCTTCCTTTGTTTCTTCTTCTCATCCCTCGCATCTTCCTTTTCCTTATTGAAGGTGCTCGGAACACGTGCCGCTCCAAACCAGTCCCACCAGTCAGGGTGATCCCCCGCACACTGGCGAAAGATGTCACGGACTGCTCTTGTACGGGCCAAGTCATAGGCAGTACGGCGCGAACCTGCACCTTGTAGAGGAGGCGCGTCCGATGCATCAGATTCATTGGCAGCTTTGTCTTCCTGATGTACGCCTGAAGACGGAACGATAATGGTTGGATCGGCGTGCAAATCATACAGCAGCAAGCGTGTAACGTCTTCGTGGCCTGATTGCACAGCGACCTGGAGCAACGATGCGCGCCTATCCCCTGTCCATTCTGGTATGGGGGCATCGACGCCACCAAGGGAAGCGCCTTCACGCTCCCAGAAGGATCTGAGAGGCTCTGAACGACCTTTGCTGATCATATCTAGTAACCGAGACCACTTCTCGCGGTAGGCTTCCTCCTCTTTAGTCAATCGTTGTGGTTTTGCCTTTTCAGGCGCCGCGGTGGGCGCAGTGAAAGGTGTAGTTTTAGGCTTGGGCAAGGAAGCGAGGAACGCTTCGTCCTGCGCTAGAAGCGCTTCCTCTGTAAGGTGTGATGTCTTCACTTGGGTAAGCTCCAGAAGACATCGCACAAGCTCAGATTGAGTCTGCAAAGTAGAATACTAAGAATCGTGCAAGTGACAGCGGCAGAGAAAACGTACGGGTCGGCGCGTTGGAAAAGGGAAGGTCCTCAAACGATCGTCTCCTTTGTTGATGACGCAATTTTCGTAGTCGAGGAAGATCCGCCTGTTAGAGACACTCGCACGTAACCAAATTCTTTCGCAGTCCTGAATGTCATCAGCCCAGTCAAAAAGAAGGTTGCGAATATCCTAGGAGGGTATGTTTAGCTATAGCGAACAAAAGTGAGACTCGCTCACATCTCGGAGAGCTTGCTCGCCATAACGACGAAGCATGGCACCTGCACTAATGGCAGCACCCTTGGAATTGTCATTTACCGATTGCGAACCACCCTGTTTACGGCGAGCTAGACGCAAATTTTCAGTTTAACGAATAAGACGATCATAAATACACCTACTAGTGTATCGGTGAAATGTCTTGTGTTTCAAAATTGATGTCTCTGGCTTGGGTTTTGGCGGTTTCTTCTTCGACTTTGCAGAGACAGTGGAATCCTGGTTTTCTGCAGGTCTACTGACTTCTACTATTGCACCTGCGAAGTGACCTCCGGCAACCATAAACATAGCCCACTTGCGTCCACCTTTCACACGTTCTTGAATGCTCTTCAGCTCCGCCAAGTACAACGGAGGAGGGGTATCTATTGGAAATAGCATCCTGTACACCCCGATTTGAGTGGATGGAGGCGAATGGAACCAAGAAACCGCTGTAAGTGGTGTTTTACGCTCCTCACTGGGCGAAGGCGATCTCGATGTTCGCTTGATTTTGCTGACGAGGGCCTTGACTGCATCAGAATCATCAGAACTCTCGTCAGATGATGCAGACCCTGAAATGGAATCTTCAAGTCCTAGCTTATACAAGACAGGCTTCGTCAAAGTGAATGACGAATAGTTGGAAGTGCCTACCGTCAACAAGCTGTGCGAAGGCTGGCTCCGTCACAGGGCTGCCGCCCCTCAGGCGAATCTTTACATTGTATCGATGCCAATCGGATCGAAAATGAGTTCGTTGCTCAGTTACGTCTGCAAAGGTCGCTCCGAGACAAATGTTGCACGCTCTCGCATTGTCTGATACTGGAGGAGTTGTTTGTACGAGAGTCGAGGCTTCCGGGGGTGGTGGTCGACTGATTAGATTCCGAGGTGTAAGGGTCTCCAGTAATTCGGGAGGGAGCGAAAAGACATGGTATCTCTGGGCCATTTGCGCTGGTTTTGTTATGAGTCTGTTAATAAGATCTGAGCAAAAACTATAGTAATATAGGGCAAGCCACGGACCCGTCAAGATGATTGTACCAACAAATGCTACATACGTAACATAGTGCCATACTACTTCGGAGATAACCGAATTCAGCACCTAGACTGATTGGCTACCAAAATAGTCTTACAACCATACCATCATGGTGTCTGCAGACTTCGCTGAACGGCCAGTCAAGAAGCTCGTGCTGTTCGATGTCGATGACACGTTATCGCCCCCACGTAAGGTAATCCAGCCTACCAACGACTACCACGCTTGATGTCGAAATCTCCCGACAGGGGGCATCTCCAGAAATAATCAAGCTCCTGCGCGAACTCAGAAAGCAGCTCGCTATAGGCTTTGTTGGCGGATCTGATCTCGTCAAGATATCTGAACAGCTCAGTGTTGGCGATTTCAATGGTGCGAAGCTCGTCCCATTGACTGCTAAGATACTCATACGTATTCGCAGTTCTGGAGGAGTTCGACTTTGGGTTCGCTGAGAACGGCCTTACCGCGTACCGACTTGGAAAGCCGTTGGAGTCGCAGTCCTTCATCAAAATGGTAGGCGAAAAGGACCATCAGGAGCTGGTCAACTTCATCTTGCACTACATTGCTGACATGAACATCCCAATCAAACGGTGAATTTCTGTGATCCTTGGCTGTCGCTCAGCCCATTCACTTGCAAATCGCAGTGGAACATTCGTAGAGTTCCGTAATGGTATGATCAACGTCAGCCCTATTGGCCGCAATGCAACGTTGGTTCGCTTACGTGCTACTATCCCTTCCACTGCAATCGGCACCCCACAGAAGTCGGCACTTTCACAAAACTCGTATTTCTAGCTACTTAAACACAAAATTCTTAACATAGGTATCATTCTCTGTCTAATACAACTCATTACGAGGTTGAACGACCATGATTAAAGCAGAATTGAGCGAGATAGTCGAAAGTGCCGAAGTCACGCAGAAATGTCACCTGCCGATATGTGCCGTGACGGAGTCTCAAATTGCACACACCCACTTTGGAAGTGCCGACTGGTGCAGCGCTGCTGGCTATGGGGCTGGTCCGCATTCGCAAGTCTAGCAGCGGCAGACGAGGAAAGCTGCGAGCTTCGTCAGACCCAACTTATGAGTCACGTATTCAGGCTGCAATTCAGGGAATTGCAAATGGGTTATATAAATCCATTGCAGCTGCAGCTAAGGAACAGAATGTGAGTCGTGTTTCATCATGTGATTATTCACTCAACTGGTCTAGGTATCACATCAGACACTGAGTGACCGATGCTTGGGAGTGCATAAGTCTTGTCAGCATGCCCACGAGAGCCAGCAATTATTATCTGCTGCACAAGAGGAAACTGTTGCTGACTAGTGTAACCTGGCATCCACATCTGTGACTCCTATTCACCCTGCGAAGTTGCATGTGTCTGTTAAGGAAATAACTGGCTGACTCCCATCATGAAAGTGGCATTATGGCTTCATTTGTTGACATCCATCCCTTCGTATATCTCGAGCAAGTGGACTGGATCCAAAATGTGCTCAAAATTTTAACAAGGATACCATTGGGGAGTTTTTTGAGATGTGAAAGAAGCTTGATGATGACCATAATAAAATTCCACCAGAGCATCATTGGAATATGGACAAGAAAGGCAATCAAATGGGCAGGGGAAGGAAAAATGCTGGCATGAAATTCATTTTCTCTGCAGAAGATTCAGATTGTTATTGGGTCCATAGTGATAATCTAAAGCTCGTAACCATTATCAAGTGCATCTCAGCTGCAGGTGCTAAGATGCCACCATGGTTTGTCCTTTCAGAAGGACCAGCCCCAGATATTCGAGATCTAAAAGATAAAGTAGGTGGGTAAGTAAGCTACATAAGCATATCATTGTGCTCTGCTAACACTGTGATATCCTTGGACAGTGTTTCTTTCTCTCCAACAGGATGGACAGATCATGAGATTGCGGATTATTGGTTCAGGAACCACTTTGTTCCTACAGCAGAGAAACACTGTGTTGATCCTGAGAAACCAATTGTTCTGATGGTTGATGGTCATAGTTCACATGAACAAAGAGCTATCAAAAGGGCAGCTTATGATAATGGTGTCATAATCCATGCCTTTCCATCGAAAACCATGCACAAAATTCAACCACTGGATGTGGGCGTTTTTTCCTCTGTTCAGCATGCTTGGACTGTTACAAGAGCGGTTACCCCCTATCTCTTTTCTCCTTTCGTACACTTGTGTATTACGTCATGACTGCACCTGGCTGTGCCATCACTAAGACCAACGCCTTCCATATCTGTATTACAGTACGACCGTCACGTGCCGTCGCTATCTGACTCATTTCCTTATCTCTGACTCATTCTCTTATCTCTGACTCGACTGATGACGTATACGTACCTGCCCTAAAGTACTTACGCCTATATAAACCTGGTCAGGTACTTAGATAGACTTCACTTTAATCTACTAGGTTTTACCTGCACTATCCTTCACTTAGGACCTCCAATCCTAAGCCGTCTGATAATGATATTCAAGTCGAAGACACTCTCTTTGACTTGTCTTAAGAACCTTACATTTGTGAGGACACGATCTGGCTTTAGGTGAACTCTTATCGAGTGCCTATTGTTGAGCCCATCCTAGTCGACCTACGGTTCGCCGTAACATGGACCAAACATTGTGACAAATGCCTTGCTGATGGGGTTGAAATTGATTGCTATAATTTTATTCATGAATATATGGCCATTCACCATGTCATTACACCAGAACTCATCCAGAAAGCATTTAAAAAAACCAGTATCTATCCTCTTGATCCATCGATCTTCACAGACAAGGACTTTGCACCAAGCCTGGTTTATTTGACTACTGCACATCTTCCCCCATCATATCCTTCTGAAGTCCCTTCATCTCCAATGGCAATTCCTTCTGACATTGAAGAATTTGATGAGTCGATGAGACTGGACAGCAACCACAAAGAAGAGGATTCGGAGGATGACAGTGATTTTTTTCCCATGGCTGTTGATGAACATGACTCAGACTCAGACTCTCAGAGCTCTGACTCAGGCGACTCGGAAGGACCTCAAAGTGACAACTTGGAGTCAGATGAAGACAAAGACAAAGGAGAGATGCCCCAGCAAGACACACAGCCCCCCTCTAATGACACTCGCATCACCCGCTCAACATTGCAACTATCAGGCCCCATCCAACATCCAGTTATCCCCTCATATGTCCAGGCAATGACATTGACGAAGGAGGAACTTTGGCATGAGCTCCAGCGCATGTATGAGCAGAATGGGGCATTAGTTCAGATGACTCAGATCCTGACTGCCCAGCTCAATGCTACAAATGCACACTGTACAATGGCACAGCAGGCATTGGCTCAATCTCGACTGGAGTTGGAGAATGTAAAGAAAAAGAAACAGCTGAGGAAATCTGTCAAATTATGGGCCCATTTTGTGATGCACCCAGAGCTTGAGGAGGACTTCAATAAAGCGGAGGAAGAGCGGCATGAAAAAGACAAGCTCGATGCAGAGAAACAGGCCAAAAAGAAGTCTGAAGACGAAGTGCGTCATGCTCAGATTGAACATGATATTGGGTCGAAGACATTTGATGCACTCTTAACACTCTGGCACAAGGACGACTTCATCATGCTTGCTGGTGCTCTTAAGATTTCGAGAGATGGGACAGTTGACAAACTCCGAGCAAGAATCAAAGAGTTTCTTGCTGATAATCCATGTTTTTCTGCGCTCTTCCAGACAGGAAAAACACGTTCAAAGAATTTGGCCACCACATCATCAACAGGGCAGGCCAGTACTAGCGGCACCTCACAGGACAACGATGCCACCTCATCAAACACTGTGGCTTTCAGCAGCAATCATTTTTTCACTTCTCCCATGCATGCTTTCAACTCAAATTATCCTTCGCACCTTACTAACCAGCCATATTTTCATCAATTCTACCCTAATCCAGCTCTTCAGGTGCCATATTACCCTACAATGCAGAATAATAATCCATCCAGCAGTCCCATTGCATCATCATCAAACTTACATAGACAACCTCAGGCTCAGCCTGGCCATCCATACAATGTACACGGTCTCCCTATACATCCACCTCAATTTTACAACTATGGCACTAATAACAGTCACCCTCGTACTTAGGTATATCTACTAGTCAATACTGTACTTGCTCGTTCAAACATTCACGCCGAATACTAATTGACCTTGCGCTCTTGCTTGACTGCCAAACTGACTTTGAAATTGGCCTACGTGACATGTCGTGACTCATGGTGACATTTGCATGACTGCTGACTTCTGTGGGGTGCCGATTGCAGTGGAAGGGATAGTATTCCCTGGACCTGCTCCACAGTGTCCAGGAACGCAATGATTTTGCAGCTTACACGGCCAATCGGAAAATTCATAGCATTTATGTCCAAAAATAGGGTTATTGGTCCTATGTTGACCTGATCTCCACACATCAACTTTCATTGCGTGTATTATATATAATTAAATAATACAATTTTGATGGATTCATAGGCTGACATAACGTCAGTGATGTCAGAGTGTGAATGCGATGCTGGTAGGGTATAGGTCCATTGGCTGTTTTCAGGTGCACATTATGTACTGAGATTGAGCACTGAAATCATGCTTGGTTGAAAACATAGATCCTATACTGAGACCTAGGTATTGGTAGTATACTGGTTGGCTGATGTACAAGCTATATAATTCCGGCATACATATGACACATGAGCATATGTAGAGTGCACACCCATCAACATGCTGTAGTGGTACTACCTGAATATTTTTGCACTGATATTTGTGCCATCGAGAGATCATAGAAAGCATGTATTATTCTTGTACCAAATGATGACAGGTATGATTAAAATGAGGAATGCAATGCAGGGGCAGCTAAATGACAGGTATGATTAAAATGAGGGATGCGGCAGTGCAGGAGTGGTGAAAATGAATGGAAATATTAGGTGGTCCAAATAAGCTTGGTCTGAATAGCAGTCTGCCAATGAGGATTCGTCCTCGAAATTAACTTCGAGACCTTCTTGCCACCAGGAAACTTGGTGAGATCAGCTTGGAATATTTCGATGAACAACCTAGCCGAACATCAGTGTCAATAACTGCATGAGCCAACAAAAATGCACTTCTGCCACTCCTTCTCTTGCTCAGTGGGAGTTGAGGAGGCTTCCTTAGATATTTGGCACATGACTAAGAGCGAGTGGTTGACAAAGTTCCAGAATCTGATGGTATTGGTGTAGTGTGCTGGAGTACCTTCAACCAGTCCAAATCCGGAGTCCAGTGGATCATCTAGTAAGACTGCAGCAGTTTCAACACTGTTCCTGAGCCCATTCAATTCCTCTTCCTCTCCATTAGCATCCCCACCACCCAGCTGCGCTCCACTTTGGTCCTCGAGCTCTTCATCATCCATGTTGGCACCATTCTCAATCCTCCTAGCACTGGGCATGTGACCATTACCTGTTGGAGTGTCTGGGGAGGCCTGATTGTTAGACCCAAGCGCATTGTTAGTGCCAAACAAGTCATCTTCAAGCTGTGCAATGTTGACACCAAGTTCACATTCAACTTTGCACCGCATATCCTGCTTAAGCGACAGAATAAGGTAAGGGGAAAATAAATCGTTGATGGAAGCATTTTTGTAGTCGCTGACTCCAATGAGAAAAATTTGTAGAAGATGCTGCTGTCCCCATACAAACAAGTGTTAATTAATAGATATGTATGTTTTATCACTTACCAAGAGCGTGATCCTGTTCCAATGAGTAGAGTCAACTTCCATACCAGACCCACTGCATGCAAGTGCCCTCATCACATCAGCGATACTCGTGTGCTTGACAACTGACACGGTGAGGGCATTCTTGATGACACTCCAAATGCCTGTAAGTAGCTTTGTAACCGATTTGCCAAACTGAGCTCTGAGTTCGACATCCTTGAGCATTCCAGGAGGAATTTTGAAGACATTGGAATGAGTGGTAATGAAGTCCTGAAACAAGTTAGTGGTGCTGAACAATGGACTTCGAAGCCATACCATTATATGATGCTGAGTATCAGTAACGTATGCTGTGATATTTGGCGACAGCATACATGCAAACAAATGGTTATATAGCCCATTCTTCTGGTCCAAGTTAGTCTAGAATAACG